AGTAAAGGGCTCTATATACGGGTTCTTATCGTCGTGCTATTATACAGATTTGTCGTAGCTCTTCCTTTACGACCTCTACGTAGGTCCTCGGCGCGTTATTAATAGAGTATAGCTCTACTACCATTCGGTAGCCTTCTCTGCCCGAGTCCTTTCGTTGTATTATATTGAACTATTCGCGTCGCACTATATTCTTACCGCGGCAGTTCCGTGCTATATAGCCTTCCTTGCTACACGTATAGTAAGTTAATCTTCCTGCTTTCTTAGGCGAACTCTTGCCTTTTCTTCCTTTAATTGCTCGACCCTTCTAGGTAGCGTCTAGCTCTATTAGTTGCGCACCGTAGTAGTTGTTCCCTTTTAGTTTATCGTAGGTACTGTAGTTTCGTCTATTATCGTATCTAGGAGTATAACTAGCTTTTTTAGAAGTCTTGGAATCGTAACGTCGTTTTAAAGCTCGTTCGTAGAGCCTATCGTCGAGATCGATCGTAACCTTAACTAATGTTCCTATATCATCTATTTTTCTACCGTCGCGTATAAGCTCGTCTTTAACGTTGTCCTTAAGACCTCGCCGATACATTGTTATAAGAGCTTCGTCGTCCTAATCCGTAAGTTAGGCATATTCCTAAAATTTGGCGGCGTAATCGGCATATAACCCCTTCTAAGTCAAATGTTAGATAACCCTAACTGCGGTAGCAACTTCGTTAGAAGATCTAAAGACCTTCTTTATCGTACGCTTAAGATTTTCGTAGCTTGCGAAGATTCCATCCGAATTGTCGGTCCCGTTGCTATCTAGATAGGTCCTAAGAAATAGTTTAACCTAATGCTAAGCCCTGCCTCGTATAAACGTCGTTGCGAAGACTAGCTTTAAGTTATCTTAAACCTAGTTGAATATGAAATATATATCTATCTAGCTAACCTAGATATCGAATTTGTCTCGGTCGCCGAAATAAAAGTCTAGCTTTCCGATCTTAAGAGAATCGTTTCCGGTATAGGTTCTGAGTGCATTGCTAGCACTAGAGGTAGTACGTCGAGTACTGCTTGTCTCGCTAGGGGCGGGAGTTCCCCTTCCGACTTATAATAAGGCACTTATCCTAAGGGCGTTCAAAGTGTTACGGTTACTCGCGACAGATCGTTAGGTAACTTCTTATTACGTGCAAGCCGAGGCTTCTTTAGAGAGGCTAATATAAGCGGGAGGCAGAGACAGAATAATTGGTACAAAGGTAATTCCAATCAGTAAGTAGGTAACATAAGTTGAACGCCTCGAGCTATAAGGGCATTCCGGCGTTCCTAAATACAAAGGAGACATCTTGTCTATAGTCGTAAGCGACGTAAGCGACGCTGTCGCTCTCGACCGCTCCTATCGCTCCTAGTAAGATAGAGCGACAGCTCAGCCTACTAGTCTTAGCGTCGCTCTAAGATTATATAAGGACTCTAACTAATCAGATCCGTAACACTCGAGGAGGTTATCCTTTAGCTACTATTCTTAACGTAGGGTAGTAAGCCTGTTTTAGGTAGCTTCTTAAAGTCTCCCTACTAGTTAAGGACTAAAGGCTAGTTAGCTATATCGACGATTAACAATGTTGTTAAGAATGTCGTCGATAGGCAATTCTAGATCGTTACCTAGAATTATAGGTTCTTTAGTAGGCTTAGTAGTAGGCCCTTTAGCAGGTGCTTTAGCAGGCACTTTAGTAGGTGCTATGCTACTAGTATTGTTATTGCTAGCGCTACTAGCGGCGCCGCGGTTGTTGTTGTTATTATTTCGTAATAAGCCGGCTATTATAATAAGGGGTAGTACTAATAATGTATTATTAGCCCCTAAGATACGGATATAGCGGAATTAGTAGATATCGGTCTAGTATACTTAACTTAGTATAATAGGCCGTATAGAAGGCCTTGCTTAATAATTAGTACGGTTGTTTCGATAGAATAGTATATATAGGTCCCGTTCTTCGGGCGTAATATAGTTAGATTAGTCTTGTTCGTAGCTATACCGCTAAAAGCTTAAAATAAGAACTATCTAGCTACTGCCCTTAAAGGGTAGATCGAATACTATATAAGAAGGGTTATATTAGTAGGTAGATAGGGTAGTAGTAGGTACGAGTAGTATTCGATAGAGAACTAGGAGGAGAAGGAGGAAGGTAGGCTAGTTAGCCTACTGCTAAGCGCTAAGCTCTACCTAAGGTATCGAGACCCTAGCTTTACTCGAGCCCGGTTATATACTAATTACGTGTAACCTCTTTAGTCCTAATATATAGTAGGCTCTATAGGTTAAGTGCCGAGCGTTATTAAACTAAGTAAGGGTTAGTAGGTTAGCCCTATTCAATTGTCGAAGGTCTAATTGCTTAGCTAGGCGATAGCTAATAAGGGCACTAACTAAATTTCCTAGATCTAGCGTAACCTTAGTCTTATAGTTAGCTCTATACGTATCCTATATAAGACAGGTACATATAATAGCTAGTATAATATCGATAGTTTTACGCCGTACGAGGCTAACGGTTAGTATAGCGCTTACTCTTTTTTCGACTAATTAGAAGGTTAGCCTATAGGGGTAGCGTTAGCTACTAAGAGATGCTTTCGGTACTTAGTAGTAGTACGGTCGACTCGGGCCTAATCCCTAGGTTTATCGTATTAGCCTAGTAGATAGCTAGTACTATCGCAATTAAAGTACTTTAATCTAGTTAGGAGGTTGCTATAGCTGCTATTAGTCGAGCGGTTAGCGTTATAAGGATACGAGTCCCTTCTACGGCCCCTATCGCGGCCTCCTCTATATAGTCGCCGGCTACGGCCTCTTCTACGGTTATTGCTACTGTTTCTATTATTAGTATTATTGTTTTAGGTAGAGCCTTAGTTTCCTCCGTAGGCACTATAGTTGCCGCGGTTAGTACTAGCTAGTCGGATCCTCGATTCTAGTCGCTATTAGAGCTAAATAGCCCGTTCGGCTGTTTCTACTTCGACTATAAATTAAATACGCGTTAGATTAGTCTATTCGAATATGCGACGGCGGTCTAATTTAAGGACTAATTCCTATCGCAATTTAGGGCGTATTTCGGAAATCTAGATAGAGTCGGTCTTAGCTAGCAAATCGTCCTCGAGGGTCTTTAAATAGGCCTTAAATAAGCGAGCCGATTAATTAGTCTTTTGTTTAGCTCGAAGGTATTAGTCCTAAGCGTATTATTGCCTTAGTATAGGGTTTCTAAGGGTGTCTAGTATAATAGTCTTATAGTCTTGCTACTAAATAGCGGTCTAATTAGTAAGGGAGTCGAAATAGTTATCCTAGGTACGCTTTAGGTCTCTATTAATATATTGTATAGTATAGACGACTAACGAGTAGTCGTCTAGAAGGGCCCTTAGCGCGTTTCGCTAATTAAGCTCGCAGTTACGGATATAGTCGTTATATTGTTTTCGACTAGAGCTATTAAATACGGTATAGTCCTTAAGTTTAGTATCCTTCTTTTAGACTAAAACAGATAGAGAGGAAGGCCCTACTATTAGTTTAGTATTAGTTGCTAGGGCTTCTTATAGGCGACGAATTTCGAGGAGATTATCCTTTAGCTATTGTTCTTAGCGCAAGGCAGTAAGCCTGTTTTAAGTAGCTCCTTAAAGTCTCGCTACTAGTTAGGGACTAAAGGCTAGTTAGCTATATCGACGGTTAATAATATTGTTAAGAATGTCGTCGACAGACAATTCTAGGTCGTTACCTAGAATTATAGGTTCTTTAGTAGGCTCTCCGGTAGGCTCTTTAGTAGGAGGCACTTTAGTAGGTGCTTTAGTAGGCACTTTAGTAGGCACTATGCTACTAGTGTTGTTATTACTAGCGCTACTAGCGGCAGCACGGTTGTTGTTTCGTAATAAACTAGCTATTATAAAAGGCGATACTAATAATATATTATTAGCCCCTAAGATACGGATATAGCGGAATTAGTAGATATCGGCCTAGTATGCTTAACTTAGTATAATAGGCCGTATAGAAGGCCTTGCTTAATAATTAGTACGGTTGTTTCGATAGAATAGTACGTATAGGTCCTATTCTTCGGGCGCAATATAGTTAGATTAGTTATCGTAGCTATACCGCTAAAAGCTTGAAATAAGGACTATCTAGCTACTACCCTTAAAGAGTAGATCGAATACTATATAAGAGGGGTTATATTAGCAGGTAGATAGGGTAGTAGTAAATTAGTATAGTATTCGATAGAGATCTAAAAGGAGAGGAAGGAAGGTAGGTAAGTTAGCCTAACGCTAAGCGCTAAGCCCTGCCTAAGGCACTAAGACCCTAGCTTTACTCGAGCCTAGTTACATACTAATTACGTATAACCTCTTTAGTCCTAACAAAATCCCTACTTAGTAGCTTTTTTCTATAATTTTCCCTCTCTAATATAAGATCTTTAGTTTTCTAAAAAAAAATTAAAATTCGTATTCGTAATTACTATACTTTACTCCTCGATTATATAGTACTTAATAGGTATACTCCCGCTATACGTATATTCGATTAATATATATTAAGCCTCTTATATACTAGTAGTAGGTACTATACTTAAGTAAGTAAACTCTCGTAAATTAATATAAGTTAGTTAGTACGTCTAAATTTCTTTTTAAGACTTATAAGAGACGTAAATATATAAATTTTAAAATAGGACTTATTTCGACGTTTAAATATAGAGTAATCTTCTTAATTAGAAGAACTAACTTGAAACCGCTATTCTAAAGATCTTTTTTAGGATTTCTTAATAATTAGATCGCTTTCGTTATTTAAACGTAACGCTAGTAATAAAAGGTATACTTACTATAAGAATTGTAGTGCTTACTAAGGGTAGGGTAGGTAGTGCTTACCCGAAGGCTATATAGGTATATAACGCGGCTTAGAGATATACATCCTCGCTACTAGACTTAGATACACGTAGAAAGATAATCAGACCTAGAAGCTTTCAAACATATTCTAGTATACTACCTGGTACCTATCTATCTATCTACACATCCTATCCCATCCCTTCCCTTCTAACAACCCTCTAGAACTCCCCACCCAAATTTTCCCCTATACCTATACCACAATCTCAAGTATCAATTCTACCTCTACCCCTAACCATTCCGATCCCTAACCGCAAAATCCACCCCCAACGCAACCCCCAAAATCCCCAAAACAACAATCGAACACGCCGAAAAAATCAACAACATCCGTCTCCCCCTTTTCCGACCCGGAGCCTGCTGCTCCGCCCAATCCATCGTACTGCTACACGGGAAATCCTCCTCATCCTGCTGCTGCTGCACTGCGGGAGGAGCTTTCTCATCATCGGGAATTTCCGGCACGGGAGAGGTCGAACATAAGAAGCCTGAGGGTGTGGTGGGAGAGACGGGAGATTGCTCGATGGGGCCCAGAGAGGTGCGGCGACGGAGTCCGCCTGGGAAGATTTCCAGATGGACGTTTGGGCGGGGATGGAGTGGGTTGGCAGTTTGGGGACGGTGGGGGGGTGCGGTTGTGTGATCGAAGATTTTTGGTGGTGGTGGAGGTGGTGGTGGGGGTGGTGGTGATGTTGCTTCGTGGAGTTTTTCATGATGATGATGATGATGATGGTGATGATGAGAGATGCCGATTTCTTTTTCTTGTGCGCTTTGGATGTCGCTGCTACATGTGCTGCTTTCTTCGTCTGAGTGCGAGGCGTTGTCTCGGGATAGGTCCAGGGGTAGTGTCTGCGATTCATGTTTGGCTAGATTGCTCGGCCGGCGCTCGACGGGCATTGAGCTGTGTGCTAGGTCGGTTGGGATTTGCTGCATAGGTGGAATGGTTGGAGAGATTTGCTGACTAGCGCTTGGTGGGATTGGCGTGGGTGTGGTCGTTGAAAGCATTGCGATGCCCCGCCGGCTGATGATATAGGTGGACGGAGAAAGGGCGTAGAAATGCTCACAGCACGTGTGTCTGGCGAGGATGTCGAGAAATGAGCATAGGGTGGCTTGTTCAGAGCATCGGGATATCGATCGGATGCTACGGTCATACCAACAAGGCAGTCGGCAGTGCTGAAACGCTACGTACACGGTTACTACAGTCGTAGATGGCAAGGCGTTCGAGCCAAGCACCAGGTTGCCCACGCCGAAGACGGGGAAGATGTGACAGAGGTGCCGTCCCTGTGGTAGAACTAGCTGGGCTTGCTCGATTGCCGGCGACTGTGTCGCAAATGGTTATTTGTACCCGTCTCGCGCCTGGGCTGCTTGCCATTGACGAATACTTCGGATGCAGCATTGTTGCGTCGTCTTCATATCTGCGCTCGCTTTTCGACCACTGTTGCGACGTAAGTGAGGGTGTGGCATCATGCATGGGTGCCCTGAAGTCCATTCAGGCTCAACATCGGGCGATAGAAGCTTCTGTCAGTATTCTATATCTAGATCGAACGCCAACCCACAACATGCTCTCCAACATCGAACCTTCCAACCTAGCTCTGTGATGCTTTCAAGGCCATATCGCATTGCAACGTCGGAAAGGCAGCTGTGAATGGTGGAGTACCGCATGCAAGACTCCTTCCAAACCACGGTCGCCTCCACGTGGCGTCAGGATTGCTGGATGTCTGCGAAAGGCCTTCGTTACAGAAGAATAAGTCATTGTGAGAAAAGAAAAGGGGTGCTTCCATCAGACGAGCGGGCACATGTCAGCTCCCAACCACAGAAAGCACGTGACGTACCAAAAAGCACTCTGCAGAGTCTGCATTATCCCAAAGGGCCCAACCGAATGCAGATCCAAAGCCAACTCTGATCGGGTATGCGTTGTGGCTGTTCTGGCATCTAACAATTGGGTACGGCGTCGACGGTGAACGCCATGGGACGAGCCATTATTCGCGCACCGTGACAACCTTCGACGATCGACATCGAAATGCATACGAGCGTCATGCTCAACAGAAAGAAGCAGTTCGGCATAAGGTACCAGTCCTCCGTTGCACAGCTCACTTTTTTCCCCGGCTTCACCAGCTTCTCATATGTTTCTTCTGCATGATCTCGGAGTTCACCAGATTTGAAGCGTAGTCATCATGAGCGACAGAACCAAAAGCGAGGCCGCGAAAAGCGACGAGTGGTTTCAAGCGGAATCCTCGCCTGTCGAAGAGAAGGATGGAATGGAATCCTCGTCCCCGAATCACAAGCGACAGACGCCACAGCTTCCACGGGAGATTCGAGCAGTAAAAGATGGCGTCCATTACCATCACAAGGGCCGAAACATCATCGTGGCTCTTGATGGCACGGGTGACCAGGTGTGTTTTGAAATTTTGAAGCACAAGAGCTCATTCTGATGCATCTTCAGTTCGATAGCGACAACAGCAACATCGTGCATCTGGTCAGCTGTCTCAAGAAATCCGATCCCTCGCAGGTCTCGTACTACCAATCCGGAATTGGAACATATGACGGAGGCGGACTTTCAAATGGCATGAATGCCGCAGTAGATATGGCCGTGGGCAGTGGACTTGGTGTTCACATCCGAGATGCGTACAAGTACATCATGCAAACGTACCGGGAGGGCGACAAGATCTGTCTCTTTGGATTCTCGAGAGGAGCCTATACCGCACGATGCTTGGCCGGGATGATCCACAAAGTTGGACTTCTGCCCGCGCATAACGTCGCCCAGGTGCCGTTCGCATACAAATACTACAAAGACGACAGCGATGAGGGATGGAAGATGAGTGCGGACTTCAAAAAGACCTTCTCCATCAATGTCAACGTCTACTTTGTCGGCGTCTTCGACAGCGTGGCCAGTGTGGGTTTCATCCCGAGAAAACTGCCGCTGAGCAGCACGCCGACGAATGCAGCTGTCTACTTCCGCCACGCCATGGCGTTGGACGAACGACGAGCCAAATTCAAGCCTTGCCGATATCGAGTGCGAGATGGAATCGGTTCCAAAGCAGGATGGAAAGTCATGGCCGAGCAGAAAGATGCCGCGTCTGCCACCGACGTTCACGAAGTCTGGTTTACCGGCTGTCACGCAGACGTCGGCGGAGGCGCCGTGAAGAACGAGGTCAGACACAAACTCAGCCAAATCCCGCTGCGATGGATGATCCGCCAATGTTTCGAGTGCAACACTGGGATCATCTTCAAAAGCCATCGACTTGCGGAGGAGGGCATTGACGTACATACCCTCTGGCCACTCTATACAAAGTTGCCAAACTCAGGCGAACTCCCTCCGCCCGACATGGTAGACAGACACAAAAAGGGCGAACTGAAACCCATCGAACGCCGCGCCTCCGTCCTCGAGCCGGTCGACAAGGACGATCCCATGGGCATGCACCACGTGAATCTGTACGACGACAAAGCGAAACGAACCCTCTCGCAAGACTGGATCCCCGAACAAATCGAAGATTACTTCGACGCGATTTCCGACATCAACGATATGCTGAAGGTCGGGAGGAGTTGGTGGCTTCTCGAGTTCTGGCCGGTCAAAGTTCGGACTTGGAAGAATGACATGTGGGTTAAGAAGGTTACGGTCAATCGCGGGAGACATCGGTGTGCGCAGGAGGCCCGGCCGAATTTGCATTGGACCGTCGAGCAGAGGATGCATGTGCTTGGGTATCAGAATCAGGTCCGGACGGATGGGAAGTCGGTGTGGACGATTGTTGTCTGAGGAGATGAGATGGCCTTGGGAGTTGTGGAGGCTTGGTGGAGAATGTATACTTTTTTCTGCCATTTCATGCTGCTGATGCCCGGTGGCCTGACGGTCCTTGCTCAGTTCTTGTCTTGAGGATTGGCGCAGTCACTGAGACCGTTCTACGCATCGATCAGCGGAAAGCAGATCTGCTCAATGATGCTTCTTTTTCATCGAGTATCATAACTTCTGCGGATCGTCTCGGCTCATCACGTCCCCGACATCGGAGCTCTTTGCTTATGAATATATGCTCACGCTTATTACGCTCATCCTCTTCATGAAATTGACGCACATCCACAATAGCTTCTCCAGGAAGGATAAAAGACCTACGATCTACGCGGATTCTTGATTAGCACAAGTCATTCCAGCAAGATCTCCCTACCATCCCAGCAGTGTCTCTTTTAACCCTCCATCATGTCTGCTAACGTGGTAAAAGCCCTAGAGAGATTCACAAGGTACCATCACCGTCCCTTCAGCGCAGAGACATGCTGATGACGAGCCGCGTGTAGCTGCGACGTTGCCGATGCCCTTATCAAACTGAAGGTCCCTCACGGAGGCTTCCTCCCTGGTCTTACGATGTGGTCTCCAAAGCGGCAAGAAGGTGCCACCAAGATCATTGGCCCTGCGTATCCAGTAAAGTATGTGCGAAAGACCGACGACAACGAACCAAAACCGCAAGGTCACTATGTATGAGCATATCCGTCTCCATGCAGAAGACATGTGCTGAGGGAAGCTCCAGCTTGATTCCGTGCCGCAGGGTGCTGTTGTCTTCATCTCCGCGCCGCCGAAGATGATCAATGCGTGCTATGGGGGACTGATGAGTACGCGGGCGCAATATGCCGGAGTTGCCGGAACAGTCATCGATGGGAGACTACGCGATCTCCAAGAACACCGAGATCTGGAATTTCCAGTACGTCCCCAGCTTTTACCGCACGCATGTGTCCTTCACCCTGACTGTATACACCGCAGGTCTTCGCGCGCGACGTCGGCACGACGGCACCACAAGAAATCGCACGCGTGAGCGAGGTCAGTATATCGTGCTCCGCGATTCCGACTCATCTGATCTCGTGCAGGTAAACGCGCCCGTCCGTTTCAATGGTGAGGACCAAGACACCACGATCCATCCCGGCGACATTCTGATCGCGGATTTGAATGGCGTGGTGTGCTTACCGCGGGCCCTCGCCGAACAGGTTCTGGATCTCATGCCTTCGCAGGTCGAGGCTGATGAGAAGATGGCGGAAGATATCCGACAAGGCGCAACTTTTTCGGAAGCTGCGGAGAAGCATAGGGCTGATGTGAAGATGCCGAAGCTTGCGTGATGGTGAGGGATATTCGTAGGAAGCACGACATTAGAGGTGGTGTGCAGCCGGTCAGCAAAGCGCTCCTTCAACCGAATACGGATGCCAAGGTGTCGATTATGGTTAGCAAGCAGGCTCCACACACCCCTGTCTTGCTGAGGGCGCTCTATACGTAGAGCGCCTGTCTCAAGGCCTAATAGGTTATCGTCGGTGCCGTAGAGGGTATAGTGCTATTGCCTCAGGTTGAGTAAGTAACTTTACGAGACCCGCATAGAATAAGAGTCTTGCTTATCGAGTCTACTATTGCTACGGTTATATAATAGTAGATAGTTCAAATAGCAGTCTAAATAATAAAGCCTTTAACGGTTAGTTTCTAAGTAAGTAAGAAGCCGTTACTATAGGAGCTATAGAAGGCTCTTTCTAGCTCAATTCTTTACCTACTCCGGCTCTAACTAAGCGCGAGTTTAGCTAGAGTCCTTTATAGACGCCTAGTCGCTTCTAATAGTCGATTAAGCGTACTACAATACCTAAGCCTATCCGCTAAGCTATTGCCAACTTCCGTAGCTTTAATAATAGCGCTCTACCGATACCCCCGAGGGCTCCGTAATTAAGTTAAAGTACGAGGTAGGCTCGTTAGTAGAGCTAGTTGTAAGAGGCAGTTATAGCGGTTAATCTTAAAGACGACGATACGCTAATAACTAATATCGGCTAGAAGGGTTATATAGAAGCGTAGAAGCTCTACCTTATAAGGCATATAGTTACTAAAGAAGAATAGTATAGCAAGCCGCACTTCTAGGCGAAGGTTAGCAATACGTAGATAATAGAGACTCGTAAGAAGTATAGTAACCTATAGAGGGTGTTCGATCGTATACTAAAGGATTATACCTAATACAAGCTCGACAACTAGATATATTCCGGCGGCGAGAATAAGGACGACTACTTCTAAGCAATAGAAGAAGCTAAGCGAGTTATTAAAGAGCATGCTACTGCTAAGAAGCAAGCCGCTATCGACGTAGAAGCGGCTATTAAAGAGAGTATAGAGACAGAGCGTAGAAGGAAGAACTTAACGCAGCGTAAAAGTAGTAAACGTAGAGTATCTATATCTACTAGTACCGATAGTAGTAACACTAGTAACACTAAAGACTATAAGAAGTCCGCGGACGATATAACGGACGATAAGGACACTACTACTGCCGAGAGTATTGCTATTAAGCATGCTAGAAGACCGTTAGCAACTCCGGCTCCTACTACTACGGAGACAGCTTCTCCGGCTCCCTCTACTACCGCTAGTAAAACACTAAAGAACAGAGAGAAGAAGAAGGCGATAAAGGAGAAGAAGAAGAAGAAGATAACGGTTAAAGAGTCTATAGCGTTAATAGCTAGGGGTTATACTAAGAGGCAGAAGCGTACTAAGCATAGTAATAAGGAAGTCTCCGGCTTAAGGTCCGAGTTAGCTAAAGTTAAGGCACAGAATGCCGCTATACTAGCTGCTATTACTAATCTAGGGCACATATTCGCGCAGGCAAGGCTATAGGGTGTCTCCGCACCTTAGTATATGCCTTAGTAAGTGAATGCTGTATTTAGTAACGTAGAAATAGCTGAATTCGCGAGAGAGTTGGCTCCGGAGAGCTTCGAGTTTAAGGGATTTAAGCTATAAGTAGGGGTCTCCGTACTAATGTGCGGAGCTAGGGTAGACTTTCCTTTCTATAGTTATCGTATACTTATTTCTTAACCGATTTGCTCCAAATTTTAATATATTGTAGACCTAATAATAGTAAACAAGCGAATAAATAATTATATATAGATGCCGTATATATATAGTAGTGTAGGTAGAGGGTAAGGGTAATAAGAATTAAGCGTCGCTTATTTTAGCGGAGAACGCGGGGTTATAGGGTTAGGTCTTAGTATCCGGATTTAATGCAGAAGGAGGACGATAGGAGACATAGAGCCCGCTAGAGAGTAACGGCCGGAACAGATATAGGGGATATTTAGTAAGGAATTGTATATAGAAGACCTATGTCGGGTTCTCGGGCATACCGCCGTAGGGGTAGAGGTACTCTTCGATACTCGGAGGTATAGTTTTAAAGCGATTAGTAGTTAAATTGCGCCTCCTTACGCAAGTTATATAGTTTGTAAGCAGTATAGCGACTATATAATATACCGCAATAGGTTATCTTTCTATATATTGTTATTGTTCTAAGGCACTATAGGTCTAGAGTTGAAAGGACCGTCTAAAGCCGTATTCTACGGCCAATCTTGCCCTAGATATGTACTTGTTCTAAGACCTCTTATCTTTGCTTAATTAACGCGATTTATCGTCGTTCTTATATAGCCTTATAACGCCGTAGATACATTTATATGCTAGATCGCTATATAAGAATAGAAGCCTCCTATTACTACTAGGACCTATTATTCGCTTAATCCGACGCTAAACGCCTAATCTCGTAAAAATCTTCTAGTCGTTGTCCTTGCCTTAGTATAGACCGATTAAACTAGATAGAATGCCGTTAGGCGTTATTATCCCCTAGAACTTGTAACTATACTTCTTCTTATAGCTAGTATATATTAATCTTTAGTTACGAGTTAGTCGACAGGTTCCTCGAAACGTACTATCTACGAAACCCTAGAAACCTCTATACTATCCTTCTGCTTTTAATAACTTCGTAAAGGCTCGAAGATTGCTATATTTGCGTAGCCGTAGGTACTATTCGAGGAGATAGGCGAAGCGCTTTACGAGGTATTCGATTACGTCGGAAAAGATAGAGGATAGCGTCTTGTCTTATAGGCCGAATATGTCCGCTAATATAGGCTAGGTATACAGAAATAAGAGCCGCTGCAATGTAATATATAGTACTAATACCGGTAAGGGTTTATAGCGCTTATTAAACACTATAGTATCGATTTAAAGGAGTGTTATAAAACGTAGGATCTCTTCTTAAGTAAACCTATCTCTCGAGTATTAGCTAAACCGATACCTAATCCGAGTCCGAGGGCGATAGTAAGGCAGTTAGAAGTTTAATTTCTAACCTAACTATTAATAACAACCTTCCGCTAGCGACCCGCTATCGACCTACTACGTATACTTTTTATACTATCGATCGCCGATATCTTCGAAGCTCTAGTCGTGCTTTTTATACTTATTTAGGGGCCGATAGTCGTCGATACGTTGCTTCTTAATTAGCGCACCCGCTAGTATCAAAATCGGTACGAAATCGTCCTTAGAGTCGCTTATAGCGATAGGCGCGACTAGCATTTACTAATACGTACGTAAAAGAGCTAGGAGCTAAGAGATATTAGACGTACACGATTAAGACACCTAAGGCTTTATATACTAGGCTATATTGGTCTACTTAGCACTCTTAATCGGGTTGCGTTGAGGTACCTACTCTGCGTTAGAAACTGGCTGCACACCACCTCTATTAACATTATTGCCGGAGGTATAACATGCGTACGCGAATCGAGTGCGCGGCTATGTGTCGCCAAGAAAGCGGCAGCGCCGCGTGGCCGACGGGTGTTACTAACGACACCCCTGCACGCTGCACGGTGACATGGTCGTATACATGTCCCTTGGCAAGCTGCAGCGCATGTCATGATGTAACCAAGCACCACGATAAGTTATGCATCTACGATGCTTGTGAAGCTTAGGTCGAGCAGTCTTATACACACACATCTATCTCTAGCCTTGCCCGAACCCCCAAGACTTGGCCTCCACTGCCGCCGTGCTGAAGTCGTCCACGTCCACCCACCTGGACCGATTCCATCATCAGCAGTGCACAGCCAAGACGCCGTCGCACCAGTTAGCTCTTACTGTCTCCTGCCGATGACGAGGCGACGTCTCGGTCGACGACAATGACGCCTCCCACACGTCGAATCGACGGGGCAACAAATGCTCCGAGAAATCGAATCAACGGTGGCTTGCATCCCTTTCCAGAAGTCCTTCCATCATACTGCTCGAACGCAAGCAACGAATCTCATAGATGGCCAGGGGTGCTGAGGGATCTAGTGACGCGGCTCTCACTCGCGTTGCGTGCGCTTCAGATGGCGACGGTACTATATCTTCGACTGCTTCCTGCTGCGTGAACATACATACACCCTTCATCAGCATCGCCAACCCCCAGAACTCCATCCCGGACCACCTCCCACACAATGGCTCCAGTCGCTTCTTTCCTGGCCGCCGGCCTGCTCGCCCTGAACGGCGCCCTGGCCCACCCAGGCCACAGCGTCCAACAAGAAGCTGCTGAACGCGGCCAATGGCTGCAAAAAGCCAAACCACGCTCGGTCCGCTCCTGCGCCAACGAGCTCCGCCGTCGCGGTCACCTCGAAGCCTCACTCGCCCGCCGTCAAGACCTCTCCCGCCACGCTCGCCTCAAGCGCAGCCTCCCCGTCGACAAACCCCTCTTCCGCCGCGACTACTCCAGCTCCGTCAACGAATCCCACGCCTCAACCCTGGACGTCACCGTGGGTTCCGACGAAACCCTCCTCTTCGCCGACGACTCCAGCTGCCTCCTCCAACCCGAAGTCACCCAAGGACCCTACTACATCGACGGCGAACTCATCCGCTCCGACATGTCCGAAGACCAACCCGGAATCCCCCTCTTCCTCGACATCCAACTCATCGACACATCCACCTGCCAACCCGTCCCCGCCGTCTTCCTGGACATCTGGCACTGCAACTCCACCGGCGTCTATTCCGGCGTCTCCGCCTCCGGCAACGGCAACGAAAACGACACCTCCAACCTCTCCGCCACATTCCTCCGAGGCCTGCAGCAAACCGACAGCAACGGCGTCGCGCAATTCGAATCCATCTTCCCCGGCCACTACACCGGTCGCGCCCCACACATCCACGTCTTGACGCACAACACCAACTCCACCATCATCCGCACCAACGCCACCTTACTGTCCGCCTCCGGAAACTTCTCCACCCAAGCCTCCCACGTCGGCCAGATCTTCTTCGACCAAGATTTAATCTCGCAGGTCGAAGCCACGTCTCCGTATACCGAGAACACGCAGGTGCTGACTGTGAATTCCGAGGATGGGATTTTGGCCGAGGAGACGGAGGGCATGGATCCTTTTGTCGAGTTTGTTTTGCTGGGGGAGGGGATTGAGGATGGGGTGTTGGCGTGGATTTCTTTGGGGATTGATCCCACGGTTGATGAGGCGATTTCTAGTGCCGGCACGCTTTATGAGGAGGGCGGTGTTGCGAATGAGAATTCTGTTATGGGTGGTGGGGGGCCTGGGGGTGAGGGACCGCCTGGGGGGAATGGGACGGATGTTAGTGCGAGGAAGTAGAGAGGGTGGTTGAGATAGAGCAAGAATGATAGAAGAAGTCGTGTGTTTTTTTTTTTTAAAAAAAAAAAAGTATCGATTATATCCAGGGGTATCGAGAGAGATATATATATTTGTTTAACGCCCTCCTACTATCCCGCTTGAAGGAAGTATATGATATTTTTCTTCTTCTTCTTCTTTAAATACAACTCCTCCTCCTCAACAAACCACCCCATCCACCCATCCATCCTAACACCCCAACCCCGCAATCCCCTCAATCTCCCTCCTAATCCCCCGTAACCGCCTCCTCAACTCCACCGCAGTAAAATGATAAGCCACAAGATGACTCGTCTCAGCCAGCGCCAGATCCAAACAATCCCTCTGCAACGCCCCAAACTGCTGCCGCTGCTGCTCGAGATCCTCCTCCCGGACATGGAAATTCCCGATCCCCTTCTCAATGCGTTCCTCCAAAGTGCCGATGAAATTCGCCGCGAGGTTCAGTTCTTCTTTGATGGCTTCGGTTTCCATGAAGAGGTAGGATTCCTGTTGGAGGGAAGAAGAGGTGATGTCGAGGTGAGAGGTTTTGGGGCTGATTGGGGGGTCGAAATTTTGGTGGTTGTTTTGTGTTGGAAAGGCGAAGGAGTGGCGGAGGTGGCCCCATTCGGATGAGACGCTTGTGGTAGGGCTGTCTAGGAAGGCGGAGGAGGAGGTGGGGGCTTCGGGCCAGGGGGGAAGGGTTTGCGGTTCGTAGGAGAGCATTTGTGGGACGATGGGGGCGGTGAGTTGGAGTTGCGGGGTGGGGAAGTAGGAGGAGGATGAATCTGAGGAGTCGCTTGGGTTGCGCCGGTGAGGATGGGAGGAGTATGGAGGGAGGATGGGTGATGTGAGTGGCGAGCCGGTGTAGGATGATGCTGATGAGCTGCTGGTTTGTCTTGGGCTGGAGGCGTCGTTGCTGATGGTTCTTGTTTGTCGGCCGGCTCGTCGTGAAATGCTGTATTCGCAGTTGAAGCCTCGTTGTCTGCATCTCAAGCATGATGGTTGTTCTCGCGAGCATCTGACTTTGGCTGACGCGCAGCAGTCGCAACTTTCCTTGAGTTTCGGCACGGTTTGCCTCCGGCGCTTGCTTGATTCACTTGCAGGCATTGTGTGGTTGGGTGCTAGGGCTGTCGAAGATTCCACACAGGTGATGGTTCGATCCACGTGAGCGTGCCAGTATGCTGCAAGCTGTTTCTCGAGAATAATGCGTCTGCTCCCAGTAAATGACGTGGATGTGGTGTAGAAGATAGACTTGTCTCTCAGGCAAACATCAGGTAGCCTCAAGCACGGCAGCAGTTGGATTGGTGACCGATTGAAAGCTGGTGTTGACGCCTGTCTGAAGTCGTCTTGTTTTATGCTTTGACAATTTCGAAATAAGACTGGGTTGATGGAGTTTATAGAGTCCTTTCTCTGATTGTTGTAGGTGCTCTTGGGATGTGAGGCAAACGAAACTGTTGTCCAGACACTTACTCTTGGCTATCTATATGCTGCGGCCTTTTCCTCGAACCATTGACGGTCGATAAATGCTCCGCAGGGCACGACGCGATGGTGCAAGGGTCGATTCGAACGTTCCTGAGCTGTAGCATCGTGGTGCAACATGCCGAATGGCTAGTAATTGGCCGAGTGACTAAGGAACGTGGTTGGAGGATGCCAGGCCAGCTTCACGCGTGAGAGGCACATCGGAGTGTAGATCTCGAGATCTCTGTGTGGAGCACGGCACGCCCATCTTTCTTTCCACGTGTTTGCCATGCTTTACGTGCCGTTCATCTGCGAGAATCGTCGTCCTCGTGCTGTTGATCTGCAGTGTTGACTGCTGTGGTGAGACATAGCTGCACGTCTTCGGCAGAGGCGTTCAGCAAGGATTGCTTCTCAAATACGCCGTGGTGCGCAACTTAGCCTTGGCCACGTGCGAACTTCGCACTGACGTATTCTCCAATGGTTCCCCATCCTTTCTGGGGTGTCAATAGGTACTCACTCATCACAGATCGACGGAAGTCAGTAATGCACAATTTGCCGCACTTCAGCTGACATTGAAGCCAAGACAGGACACTGCGTACATCTGTATTGGTCCTCAGGTATCGACGATTCGACATCCATGTTCGAAAGCCAAGCGACTGTTCCAACCAGACACTGATTGCGATGCGCCCCCCCAAAACATGCTCATCAAACATGCTCATCGGGCGGTGACGTGATTGAAAGTAACAGCTCTCGGTGTCGTGTTGATGCGCTGGCCGCTGCCAGTCGCCAAGCACTACATAATACAGTTCGCGAGATGCTCAAGGCTCATCCACCACCTGTGTGGTCGTCCCGCTCTCACCCTCGACCTCATGTGCGTTCAGCGCTCTAAAGCTGTCAGCTGTCAGCTTGACAGCTCCTGCCCTGACAAGTGCCTGTGTCAGATCATCACGCAAGTCCTCCAGGTCCTCAATGCCAATGCACAATCGAACGATGTCCTCTGGCAGTGCGCGTTCCTTTCTCGTCGCTGGGTCAATGCTTGCATGGCTCATGCGACAAGGCATGGAAATGAGTGAATTGACGCAGCCAAATGAAACGCTAATGCCAAAGAGCTTGGTGCTCTCCACAATGCGCTCGGACAGCTCAATAGAGCCAGTCTCGAATGACAACACGGCGCCTGCACCGCGTGCCTGGCTCCAATGAAGCGCATATTGTGGGTGCGATCGCAGGCCAGGATAGCGCACCTTGAAGCCGTGGTTCTCAAGATACGCCGCAATTGCCATGGCGTTGGACTGCTGCTTGTCCATGCGCACGGCGAGAGTCTTGACGCCACGAAGTAGCAACCAGCTGTCAAACGGCGCCAGGCCACAGCCCGTGCTGTTGATCATAAAGTACAGATCATCGCCCAGCTTCACATCATTCACTCCAATCACCCCAGCCATGACATCGTGGTGACCGGAGAGATACTTTGTGCCCGACTCGTAGACAATGTCTGCACCCAGATCGAGTGGATTTTGAAGGTATGGCGAGAGCATGGTATTGTCCACCGCGACAATGATCTTCGAACTGACATCGTGCGCCGCTGTTGAAATGGCATTGATGTCGCAAATCTTGATCAGAGGGTTCGTGGGCGACTCCAGCAGCACCATGGCAGTCCTCTCCGTAATCGCAGCCTTGACGACATCCACTTTCGTGGTATCGACGTGGTGGACTACAATTCCTTGACTCCTTTTCAGGTAGGTGAGAAGTCTGTTGGTTCCGCCGTACAGATCGTCGCCGGTGACGACCTCATCGCCAGTCTTGAGAAGCCTGGTGATGATGTCGAGAGCTCCCATGCCCGAGCCAGCGACCAACGCTCTGTTGGCGCCCATGATCTTCGCCATATGCCGCTCTAGATGCGACCTCGTTGGGTTGCCGCTACGGGTGTAATCGTACTCTTGCCCGGGAAGACCTTTGAAGGTGGCCGTCTGGTAGATGGGCATGCTGCTGGAGCCGTACTGGTCGCCGCTCTCGGTGAACACGAGCTCGGTCGCAAAGTTGTACCTGCGGCCGTTCGAAGGCGAGGAGGGTGCCGGCGAAGGTGGCAGTTCGTGCCCGTCGATGTCGAGATGCTGCATGGCTTTCCCGATGCCATTGGCGACGTGCTTGGAGCCCATTGTGGTTGTAGAGAGTGGTGGTAGTTTTTATAGAGGACTAGAGACCTCTACACGCTGATGTCACCTGTGAGGAATGTTGGGCGTTGTTGAAAGCGACTCGGTGAGTGTTGTTATTGCCCACTTCTCTAGTGTGACTCGAATGAGGGCGAGTCGGAAATTCGTGGAGGCGACTCGGGAGAGCGTCTGCTTCTGGAGACCTTTAAATGGCCACTACGCAGATGGCTATTTGGCGGTCAAAGTCACGTGATTTCATACACAATACAATGTGTACCCCGCTTTCCAGACGAGGCGAAGTGAATCGCGTAACTCAAGAGCCTGCAGTTGTCCACAACAACATCCTCTAGTCTTTGCGATACAGTATATAGACCTGTGAGTGTCGGCTTCGTGCAAAGGCCTGATTAAATCTAAGAAATTGATTTCTTCAAACATCGATTAACCAACATTAGATGACATCTTCACCTGTGGGTGTGGAGTAGAGCCAGTCTTCTAAATAGCTGTTCAGTAGCGGCCCAATATCGTTTGACGGCCTGCAAGGGACCGATCACATCATCGCAACCGGCCACTGACGTTAGGCGAGCCGGCAGGTTCAATCTTCGGAAACATTTCATTGATTCTCTTATTATTCCAAGCAGAATGGTATAGGGCTGCATACATCAACACTTCGACACATCTGAGCTATATCCGATATACTTCCTTTACACGCCTGTCCCTTCCAACGACCAAGCGCAATTGTTTGCCCTTTTCACCCGTGAAAATGCCATCCCGCAATACATCCGTGTACAGCTCGTAGCATGGATAGTCTGAGCAGAACATTAGCAAGATCGATAGACATGGCGCTGAAGGAACCTGTAACTCACAGCCGTTTACGAAGTTGATGACTTGCTCTTGCGACATGCCCGTACCCTTCGAAGCTCTCATTGCTGCCTCCTGCTCCTCACGCCAATGGTATACGTAGAGCGTGTCTTCCGCATCACTATGCCTGTGATTAGCTCAAGCCACCAATCCATACCAACCAAACTTACATGTGAATGAAAGCTCCAAACCTGTCCGTGAAAGCATCATACTCTCGTAGCCTGCGATTCACAAACAACACATCCTCCAACTTGAGCAAGCCTAAACGACCCTTATAGCTGCCATCTCCCTTCTCGGCCTGCGCTTTCGCAGCTTGCCATTTGCTCTCTACTTGTGCATCGCTCAGCGCTCGAAACCCAACGCACCATCCCTCAAACACTATGACCTCAATAGCCTTCTGCCCTTTCGCATTGACAACATGCCATTCACTCTCGGGTCTACGATCTCCAGCACCACTATACTGACTCTTGTCGTAGCTTGGGACTTTGACGTCGGGTCTACGGCTGGACAAAGCTTCGAAGAGCTCCACGCCCGTGGTGACATCGTGTGTTCCCGGGACACCCCGATGCTGGACAAGGGGGTTGTTGGGGTGCGATTTTGCGAGCGCTTCTTGCCGGTCGTGAGGCAGGTATAGGTCGTCTATTGAGAGGACTAGAGTGGGCAGATTGTGTGGTGGTGAGGAGAGTGTCTTGCTAAGAGTTTCGACCTGGAGCAATTAGTGTGCAGCTCTGGGCCACGTTTACAGCAAATCTCGAGAATTGGGAAAACGCAAAGGACATTGATGCCGTGCAACAGAACATCTTGTATCTGAATGTGTTGATGCAGTATACGAAAGTAATGCTTACCTACCAAAGTCGTCTTGCCCGCACCTTGAACGCCATTCAGTCCGAGGAAGAATGGCGCGACGTCCTGACCCTTCCTCTCATGCTCCGCCCTGAGCAACTTCAGGCGCTCGAGAATAAAAGGTATACAGTGCTCGGACTTGTCATCGATGATCTCAGGCATCCTGCTTGCCGATGGAGCTCACGTGTACATCCTTCAAACATGGTGTTCTTCAGCCTTTTGACATGTGAATCGGCTAAACGAATAGGCGTTGTCTTTCGATCGGCAATCGGCTGGGCTGGGTGGTTGGTGCGCGTGACGGCAGCTGACTACGGGTCTCCATTTTTGTGGGCTTCACATGAAAGAGACCGAAAAAGTTGTAGAGACAGAGACTGTATCGTGTTTATGTTGTCGGCATCGCTTCTTCGAAATGCCCGGCCTGTAGAAGTGATGCTTTTTAATGAGTCTCGGTTAGGCTGTGATTATTCCGGAGTTCGAGCGAGCCTCATCGGCAAATCGCTGCTTTCAGAAACAATGACGAGTGCCGCTACAACTCGGCTTCCCAGATGAGCCGAGGTCTCTGTTGCTTCCATCACGCAGCCTCTAGACCACGCGACTGTCCTCGCCCAGCTGTCAGTATTTCTCTCTCCTCCTTCTCCATACGACTTCGAGTCGCATAACTACACTTTCTTTCTGCACAATACCGCCAGCATGGGCAGCGATCAGCTTAGATGGGACGGCCAGACCGTCGTGGTTACCGGCGCCGGTGGTGGGTTAGGAAAAGCATATGCAGTCTTCTTCGGTAGCAGAGGAGCCAATGTGGTCGTCAATGACCTCGGAGGTAGCTTCAAGGGTGAGGGCGGAAGCCAGACAGTAAGTCGAGCCAGTCCGGAATTCAATCTGCGGAGTCTGACAGATGAATGCAGATGGCCGAGAAGGTCGTGCAAGAAATCACACAAGCCGGTGGTAAGGCCGTAGCAAACTACGATTCCGTCGAGAATGGCGACCGAATCATCAAGACAGCCATTGACAACTTCGGCCGCATCGATGTCTTGATCAACAATGCTGGTATCCTCCGAGACATCAGCTTCAAGAACATGAAAGATGAGGACTGGGACCTCATTATGAAGGTGCACGTGATTGGTGCGTACAAGTGCGCAAGAGCTGCATGGCCATATTTCAGGAAACAAAAGTACGGAAGAGTCATCAGCACTGCCTCTGCTGCTGGACTTTTTGGAAGCTTCGGACAATGCAACTATTCTGCTGCCAAGCTTTCCCAAGTCGGTTTCACCGAGACTCTGGCCAAGGAGGGTGCCAAGTACAACATTCTCTGCAACACGATTGCGCCAATTGCTGCCTCCCGATTGACAGCTACTGTTATGCCCAAGGAAGTTCTGGACAACCTGAAGCCGGAGTGGGTTGTGCCGGTTGTCGCTGTCCTTACACACTCATCCAACACCTCGGAAAGCGGAGGCATATTCGAGATTGGTGGCGGCCACGTCTCCAAGTACCGATGGGAACGATCAAAGGGTGCTCTGCTCAAGGCCGACCAATCTTTCACCCCAGGCGCTCTCCTCTCCAAGTGGAAGGATGTTGAGAACTTCAGCGAGCCGCAATACCCAACGGGCCCGAACGACTTCGTAACACTTCTCGAGGAGGCCAACAAGCTCCCAGCAAACCCAAAGGCTCCAGAACTTAACTTCAAGGGCAAGGTGGCCGTCGTCACAGGTGGTGGTGCTGGTCTCGGTCGTGCCTACTGCTTACAATTGGCCAAGTATGGCGCTACAGTTGTGGTCAACGACCTCGCAGATCCGGAACCAGTTGTTCAGGAGATTCAGAAGCTTGGTGGCAAGGCGACCGGCGTTCGTTGCAGTGCCGAGGATGGTGAGAAGGTCGTCGCTGCTGCCATTGACAACTACGGCAGAATCGACATCCTCATCAACAACGCAGGCATTCTCCGCGACAAGTCCTTCCACAACATGGAGGACAAGATGTTCCAGCAAGTCCTGGACGTCCACCTGCGCGGCACCTACAAGGCTTCGAAGGCTGCCTGGCCTTACATGCTTAAGCAGAAGTATGGCCGCATCGTGAACACAACCTCTACATCCGGTATCTACGGCAACTTCGGTCAGGCCAACTATGCTGCCGCGAAGTGTGGAATTCTCGGCTTCTCACGCGCTCTTGCTCGGGAGGGCAAGAAGTACAACATCTTCGTCAACACCATCGCACCGAACGCAGGAACCAACATGACTCGCTCGATCATGCCTGAGGAGATGGTGCAGGCATTCAAGCCAGACTATGTCGTCCCGGTCGTGCTCATCATGCTTTCCGACAAGATGCCAAACGAGCCAACTGGCCGTCTTTTCGAGAGCGGTTCTGGCTGGACTGGCGAGACCAGATGGCAGAGAACTGGAGGTGCCCAATTCCCAATCGATGTCACACTCACACCCGAGGCAGTGAAGGAAGTCTGGGAGTCAAAGATTGCCAACTTCGACGACGGCCGAGCTGACAACCCATCGGACGTGTCGGCTGCAAATGACAAGATCATGGGCAACTTTGAGAACCGGGCCAACAAAGGTGGGAATGCGTCCTCCAGCGAAGACGACTACCTTGCCAAGATCGAATCGGCTAAGAAGGCACAGGCCGACGGAACGGAGTTCGTCTATGATGAACGAGACTGCATCCTCTACAGTGAGTACACGTTCATTCGACACAAAAGCGCAAAGCTAATATGATACGCAGACCTGGGCGTTGGCGCCAAACGCACCGACCTCCCACTCGTCTTCGAAGGTCACGACGACTTCCAAGTCCTTCCGACATTCGGTGTCATTCCACCATTCAATGCGGACGCACCATACTCAATGGGCGATATCGTACCTAACTTTTCACCTAACATGGTGCTCCATGGCGAGCAGTACCTCGAAATTCGCTCCTTCCCGATCCCAACAGAGGCCACACTCGTAGCCTATCCAACGCTTGTTGAGGTCCAAGACAAGGGCAAGTCTGCAGTCGTTGTACAAGGCAGCATCACCAAAGACAAGAACACAGGCAAGGAGATCTTCTACAACGAATCAACAGCCTTCGTGCGTGGTTCCGGTGGCTTCGGCGGCTCTAAGCAAGGCAAAGACCGTGGCGCTGCGAGCAAGGTCCACACGCCTCCCAAGCGCAAGCCAGATGCGGTTGTCGAAGAAAAGACGAGCGAAGACCTCGCTGCTATCTACAGATTATCCGGTGACAGAAATCCTCTCCACATAGACCCAGATTTCGCAAAGGTCGGAGGCTTCGATGTGCCCATCTTGCACGGTCTCTGCTCGTTCGGTATCTCTGGAAAGCACATCCTCCAGACCTTTGGTCCGTTCAAGAACATCAAGGTGCGATTCGCGGGTACCGTGCTTCCTGGGCAGACTCTGGTGACAGAAATGTGGAAGGAGGGCAACACGGTCGTCTTCCAGACCAAAGTGAAAGAGACTGGCAAGCCTGCGATATCTGGTGCAGGTGCGGAGTTGGTTGGGGATGGAAAGTCGAAGCTGTAAATTCTTGGTGCATTTGAGCAACGATGTCTGGGTGGTAGAGGGGGATATGTGTGTATGCTTCACTGTATGAACGATTTTGTACAGCACCTATTGGTATGGCGAAATGAAATACCAGCCATAGAATATTTGGAATTTTGGATTGTGCTGCTCTGCCCGTGCCTCGGTCTCCGTTGGGTGGCTGTCCAGATGTGGGGCCGAGTGCCCCACATAATTTGCTGCCTGAGGTGGAAACACCACAAGACAAGTGTTACGGGTCTCAGGGACAGGGACCACAACGTTGCGATCTACAATACCATTTGTATAATCTCGCAGTCCGCAGTCCGCAGTCGCGCCAGCCGCTGACCCTTGAATCATAGCGGATACGAAGTGCGGGCTCTGCGAGATTTCCATAGACCGTCACTTGCGGTCGGACTTCCACAATGGCGTTGGCACCCAAAAGCGAGTCGCACCGGATATTCGAGAAGCTGAAGCGACGAGACCCAAACAAGATCTGCTTTGACTGCGGTGGCAAGAACCCGACTTGGTCGTCTGTCCCGTTCGGCATTTACCTCTGCCTCGACTGCTCAGCGCATCATCGAAACTTGGGTGTGCATATCTCCTTCGTCAGATCCACCAACCTCGACCAGTGGCAATGGGATCAGTTACGACGCATGAAGTGTGGTGGCAACGAGAGCGCGACCAAATACTTCCAATCACACGGCGGTAGCGCAGCTTTGAACAGCAAAGATCCGAAGACCAAGTACACAAGCAATGCGGCAAACAAGTACAAGGAGGAGCTGGCGCGGAGAGTGGAACAGGATATCAAAAAGTATCCTGACGGAGTGGTCATTGAAGATACGGCGGAAGAAGCAGGCAGCGATACCCACACTCCCGCTGGTGAGCCTGCAGATGACTTCTTCTCGAGCTGGGACAAACCGGCCATCAAGAGACCTTCCAACCCACCTTCACGCACCGGCACGCCTGCCAGTATTGGCCGAACTGCCTCGCCTTTCCTCAACGCCAACCAGAATGGCAATGGTACGGCCCGGCCTAAGTCTCCTCTCAAGCCCGGCGAGGACGCCGCTCCAGCTCCCCCAGTCGCTTCTCGAGCCGTCTCTTCCACTCCCGTTCGAAAGACTGCTGTCGCCAGCAAGCCCAAAGCTAACATTCTGGGAGCGAAAAAGACCAAGCTCGGCGCAAAGAAGGTCGACGCCAGTGCATTGGACTTTGACGAGGCCGAGAAGAAGGCTCGAGAAGAGGAGGAAAGGAAAGCACGACTAGGATATGATCCAGATGAGGAGACAGCTTCAGAAACCCAGAGGAATGCCGCACAGTCTTCCACTGCTGCTACAACTATTCATCAGCCAACACCGGTGAGCCATGGCCGGGTAGGCAGCTTTGGTACCACAACCAAGCCACGCGAGAGGAGTGACAGCGAGATGGAGAGGCTGGGCATGGGTGTAAGAAGACTCGGGTTTGGACAAGTTGGTGGTGGAAAAGCACCCGCTGCCGCACCAAAGCCCATTGCCTTTGGAAGCACGAGCAGAGCTGCACCCGTTGAAGGTAAGACCAAAATTCTAACAACCCTATAATGACTTCAATCCTGACTGAATGTTTAGACGACTCCGAACGCTTCGCACGCGAAAAATTCGGAACACAAAAAGGCATCTCTTCCGACGAATTCTTCGGCCGCGGCACCTTCGACGCCAACGCTCAAGGCGAAGCCAAGCAACGTCTCCAGGGCTTCGAAGGTGCCACATCCATCTCTTCAAACGCCTATTTCGGACGACCCGAAGAAGACGAAGCTGGTCCAGAAGGTTATGGAGATTTGGAAGGCGCGGCGAAAGATTTCGTGCGCAAGTTTGGGGTACAGGCTGGTGATGATATTGAGAATTTGACGAGTATGCTTGGTGAGGGGGCTGTGAAGCTGCAGGGTGCTATTCGGAATTATTTGAATGGATAGGTGGGTGTGAGAGTGGGAGTGAGTGGTTGGGAAGGGCGGGTGGGTGCAGACTACGACAGCGTGTCTTTGATGCTTTGAGTGTGCATTCTTGCGATGAGGAAGGGAAGTGGGCTAGACAGCGTTTCGTCGTTGGTATTGTGAGCACATGTATGAGCGGATTGAACTTTCATATCATTGCAGACCAGCCATTTCCGAGAAGGCTTGAAGATGGCATAGCGCTTCCATTGGAGGTCGTGGGTGATTCTTTGAGAACAAGGGGGAATTGTAGGATCGTTTCGGCTTTACGATGATATGACCAGGATCTGGATCTGCCGGGCTGACATGACATGACCGTGAGCGCACCATCATCATCATCTCTTCCCTCTAGACCTCTTCTGCTTCTTCTCATCCCACTCCTTACTCTACAGTCCGCTGCTCTTGATCCTGAAAGGAGGCTGTATACCGCTGGTTGTGGGCTTTGAGCTCCGTCTACGAATCACGGAACCTCTGCATGTCGTTCCGTGGGCATGCGCACGCAAAGCGCTTTCTTGTTTGTAAGAAAGCTCGCTCGAATTCGAAAAAGACTTGGTCCGCGATTGCTCAGTCTCAATCGATGGCATGGCATGGCATGGCATGGCAGATGAGCAGTCACTCGCGAGGTCGCACCGCTTCGAAGATAGCGAGAGCATCAAACCATCCTTCACCTAGACCCAGGTCAAGTATCAAACATTGAACGACTGTTCTAATGAGGGTAACAACATTTTCATTCGAGCTCATTTCACGTGAAATAATATAATGGTACTAATTCAAATACCTCGCACGGTCGACAGCGATGTGGGCTTCGTTGGCAGGACGACGTCATTCTTGCGCTCAGCTCTGTTCAACGTTCGACGGCGCGAATTGCGCACCTGTTTCTTCCTCGCAGCGCGTCGCAGCATCGCTCCTTATCCATCAAAGCAGCCAAATCGCAAAGCGAGCTGCGCGCCATGAACCAGCACGGCCAATCTGGCGGCGGCGAAGCGCAGGCATACTACCAGGGGCAGCCACAGCAGTACCAAATGGATCAGCAGTACAAGCAGCCCTACCAGCAGCCTCCTCCAAACTATGCTCAGAACTACGGACAGCAACAAAACTATGCCCAACAGGAATATGGAGGCAAGCCATTCACTCAAGCGTTCAAAGTGGACCGCCCCAAGTGGAACGATGTAAGTCGCATAAGCAACCGCGCAGCCTGTGCCGCGCATTGAGACTGATACGCGCCAGATCTGGGCTGGCATCCTCCTGATTCTGGTCTTCGGAGGCTTTGTTGTAGTGTCCGGCTACACACTTTCGGCATATGCGTCGACCGGCAACTTCCAAGGCGGCGGATTCAATGACTCCAGCAACACATTCTCTCTGAACACAAACACCCTCGTACTCTTCGCCTTCATTCTGGTCACCGCTCTAGTCCTGGGATATGCATACGTCAGCCTGGCGCGTCTCTTCACCAAGCAGTTCATATGGATCTCGGGAATCTTGAACATCGTCATGTCGTTCGCGACCGCCATCTACTACTTTTACAGACGCGCCTGGGTCGGAGGTGCACTGTGGCTGGTCGTCGCAGTGTTTAGCATCATCTGCTTCATTTCTTGGATCAAGCGCATTCCTTTCAGTGTGCTCATGTTCCAGACGGCAGTCGACGTATCGCGCAAGCATGGACATGTGTATCTTGTCTCATTCCTGGGAGGCTTGGCCGCGGCTGCTTTCAGCGCTTGGTTCGCGGCGACTCTTGTAGCCGTATACGTGCGTTTCGAGCCAGGCCAGAATCCATCATGTGCTACGAGTGCTGGAGGTGGTGGTAGCTGTAGCTCGGCAACCGTCATCGGACTGCTAATCTACATTACTTTTGCTGGATACTGGATTACCGAATGGCTCAAGAACACGATCCACACCACCATCTCAGGGGTCTATGGAGCTTGGTACTTTGCGCCAAACAACCCATCGACTGGTGCAACCCGAGGAGCAGCGCGTCGCGCCTTGACGTACTCCTTCGGCTCCATCAGCCTGGGCAGTCTGCTGGTAGCGATTCTTGACCTGCTGCGGTTCGCATGCTCGGTGGCTCGGAACCAGGGAGGTACTGGAAACGGTATCGCCGATTGTGCCTTCTGCATCCTGGGGTGCATCCTTGGACTCGTCCAGTGGGCTCTCGAGTTCGTGAACCGTTATGCTTTCAGCTACATGGCATTGTACGGGAAGGCCTACTTCGCTTCAGCCAAAGACACCTGGCGCATGATCAAGGACCGCGGCATTGACGCGCTCATTAATGAGTGTCTTGTTGGTCCGGTCTTGTCTATGGGCTGCTTGTTCGTTGCCGTATGCTGTGCACTTATCGCCTACGTATATCTGGATGTCACCGACCCAGCGTATAACGAAGGCGGCAGCTTCACTGCGGTCATCGTTCTTTACGCATTCCTCATCGGCCTCCAGGTTTCCGGATGCTTTGTCGTGCCATTGAACAGCGGCATCGACACCATTTTCGTTGCAGCTGCTTGGGACCCACAAGTTCTCATGCAGGAGCACCCAGAATTGTACAGCAAGATGATTGCTGTATATCCCCACGTTCAGGTATGTATCCGGCTGGCATTGCGAAATCGCAGTCCAACATTTTCGTCCACGTGTTTCTGGCTAACTTGTCACAGCAAGCTATACATGCATGAACTTGCCGAGGCGAGGCGCGTCCTGGCGGCGTTTAGAGAAGCACATCGCAAAAGCAGAGCACAGCACACATAAATTTGTTTCACAAGTTCCACTCTTGACAGCGAAGGTTCCAAGCTTTTGGAAGTGATAGACAGGATTTCCAACGCTCGACAAAGCGGAAACATGATCCCAGATATGACGAGTCTCGCCAGTACATCAAAAGGCGGTGATGATACGTTTGATCAAACAAGAGGCCCAGAAGCATGCCCTGCGGCTCTGGTCTAGGCTCTTCCCCAATTGGATACGGGGATCCCACTTCCCCCATAGGCAGGGGAGGCTGCATGCTCCGCTCGGAGTCTCTGCGTCTGGTCGGAGCGGTGTACCTGCAGGTGTGCGGGAGTGGAAGATTTACAGTATGTATATATGAAATTATTGAAATGCGCTGAAGGGTTTGAAGGCATCATTGTCACATTTCGTGTTTCGAGCAACTTCCTCATCATTGTGAAGTCATGATTAGCAACTGGCATAATCCTGGTTGCTTGGTGATAGGTTAGGGCCGAGCCTCCCCTCGTTGCATACTGCGTGTCAATGACGATGTGCCCGCCCCACCAAAATGTTTCGTGGCTCGTTTTACGCGGTGTGGGATGGTATGGCATTCTTACGGCTACTAAAGTCAAGATTTGAAGTTATTGACGCGGTATGAGGAAAGGAAGCCTCAGAACTCAGAAGGAGGATGATTGTCTAGAATCTGTTGTAGCTCCAAAGAAACAAAAAAAATTTTGATCTGGTTTGCAAGCGAGCGCGGGACAAGCTCTCTCAACGTTCGGAGGTTTAAGGCTCGATGTACTCTTCACTCCGCCGCTTGCCGATGGCTATAGTTCTCGATTCCTGCCTAGCAGAAATATCTCGGGTATTTTCTTCGGAGTTACTGTGATATCTGTTGATTTTCACACTCGCTTCTTGGCTTGCAGCGATGTGGTCCGCTCACTTACCTCAAGCTAAAAGCGGGCGCTAGTCCTAGCGAGCACCCCACTATCCCAGAGCTGCTGCTCTTGTTTAATCATCTGTTCCACCTTCTTCTTGACTTCGACACTTCACTTCTGCAACCACCGACGTCCTCCTTCACAAACAACAACTTCACACGCTTTTGCAAACCAGGTGAGTCATAACCCTTTCGTGCAATCGTGACGGCAGCGGCAGCGGCAGCAGCAACTCAGACGTGCTGTTGGCATTGACGGCGGCGGCAACGCTGCGACTCAATTGAAGAGCTGTAGCTCACTGATCTTCTAGCTGCCTCATCCTCACCATCGACAGTGAGGAAGTCAACGACTGAACAAATAGTAAGCACTGTTGTCGCTCTTGCCTACCCTATCCCCACCAACTGACGCCTTCCTCCAGAACCACCTACACAGCACACACACTCAACGACACGATGGGTCTCAAGGGTGTCCATTTCGGAGGCGGCAACATCGGCCGTGGCTTCGTCGCCGAGTTCCTTCACAACTCCGGCTTCGAGGTCGTCTTCGTCGATGTGATGGACAGCATCATCAACAAGCTTCAGGAGACCAAGAGCTATGAGGTCACTGAGATTGGCCCAGATGGCGAGTCGAAGTTCACTATCGACAACTACCGCGCCATCAACTCCAAGTACAACATGGAGGACGTTATTCAAGAGATTGCAACTGCCGATACCGTCACTTGTGCTGTCGGCCCAAACATCCTCAAGTTCATCGCCGAGCCAATTGCCAAGGGCATTGAAGCTCGGAAGGACTCCAAGCCACTCGCAGTCATTGCCTGCGAGAACGCCATCGGTGCCACCGACACTCTCCGTGGCTTCATCGAGGGCAAGCTCACCGACTCATCTGCGCTCAGCAAGGCTCGGTTCGCCAATTCGGCTATTGACCGAATTGTGCCAATCCAGGATGACGGCGCAGGTCTGAACGTCAAGATCGAGAAGTTCTACGAGTGGTGCGTCGAGGAGAAGCCATTCGAGGGCAGCCCACCACCAATCAAGGGTGTCCACTACGTCGAAGACCTTCAGCCATACATTGAGCGTAAGCTCTTCACCGTCAACACTGGTCACGCAACCGCCGCCTACTACGGCTACCAGTCAGGCAAGAAGTTCATCCACGAGGTGCTTCAGGACAAGAAGCTCCACGACATCGTGCAGAATACCCTCAAGGAGACTGCCCACCTCATCTGCACCAAGCATGCTCACATCTCCAAGCAAGAGCAGGATAAGTATGTCCAGCAAATCGTCACTCGCATCAGCAACCCTGTGCTGAAGGACAACGTCGAGCGTGTCGGCCGTGCGCCACTTCGCAAGCTTTCTCGCAAGGAGCGCTTCATCGGCCCAGCCGCTCACCTCGCTGAGCAGGGCGATCCCGTCGACAACCTTCTCGGAGGCATCGAGCAGGCTCTTCGCTTCCAGAACGTCGAGGGTGACGACGAGTCGGTGGAATTGGCGAAGATCCTCAAGGAGAACGACGCCAAGACCGCTACGCAGAAGATCACTGGCCTCGAAGAGAGCCACCCACTCTTCGCCAAGGTGCAGGAGAAGGTGGCTCTTGTGCAGGGTGCTTGAGTTTGAGCGTCAAATCCTCCGCGACAGACCAAGGGGCCGAGCATGTGCATTGAAAACCGGCATGGTAGAAGGCTGCAATAGATACGAGCTATGAGACACGAAGTACTGATAAAAGTTGATTCTATAGCACTGGTTGCCAATGGAATGAGTGATTGAGACTGCCTTTTGTAATGGTTGTCATTTTCCGACTTCGCGTCGTGCCTATGATTCCCATTGATGTTTCCTTGGATTGAGAGATTGAAGTGGATTGTGATTGCCCCCTAACGGTCAAGATTCGACATGGCAATTGCCTATGCATGTCCGGACGGGGAATATCGTTGAAGGACTGGACTGCAGATCGGGCGATTCTTTGACGCAGTACATGGGAACAAGAGAAAACAATGGCAATGCCGCTGTCCGAGGCTGAGACTAAGAGCTCTTCGCCTTCTTTGCCGCCGCTTGTGACGTACGCAGAACTAACGCTCCGCTCCGCTCCCCGCCCCCACAACATGCAGTGAAGCCACCGTGCACCTTCATACTTTGTACGGTACCTAGCAGTCCTAAGTAGCATTGCTAACCACATCTTTGTTTGGCCACACAGTCTCGACGGCCCCGAGGCTGAACCCGCACTCCAGTCAGTAGTCGGCGACTTGCTATTGTCAGCCATCGCAACCTGGACTGCCCTCCCAGCGAGGCCGAGCACAAGCATGGCGATTGATCAACATATTCCGTGGGACATCACCACCCCGACCACCATCGTTCTCAGCAGCGCTGACAGTGTGGGTGCACAGATATCCCGAGACGCACGACCTCGCGCGAACAGAGAAAGGCTTCTATCCCGTGCGAATACCTGTATCGTGAGTCCCTCGCCTCACTCCCGCTCCGCATGTAACACGACTAGTCGGGCTAGCAAGACACTGTCCTATGCAGTGGCTAATGCGCAGCGTACAACAGACATTGGCAGTTACGACATTACATCTCCACCCCCGAGCAAGACCATCTCTACTATGCCAGCGGCAACGAAATCTACTGCCTGAACACGGCCACAAAGAAGCGCAAGCACGTGGCCACATTACCCTTCGAAGCACGATGCACCGCGTCAGGATACGGCTATGTATGTGTGGGCGGCGAGGATGAGGGCCATTTTGCAGCCATCAAGCTGGATGGCAGTGGCCCGAGAACACTGGATGTCGACGCGGCCCTGCCTTTGGGTAGCTTCGGACATGCCGTGGGAAGAAGAGCGCCGACTGTGAAAGTGGAGAGGATTGGCGAGGAAATAGTAAACTCCATCTCCATCCACCGCATACAGGACGAAGACGCGCATCTCGACGACATTGTCGCTGTCCTTACAAATAACGACCGAACGGTGCGCATATACAGCCTTCCGCAAGGCCACGAGACCAAATGTGTGGACCTCCCATTTGCCATCAATCACGCCACCATATCGCCAGACGGACAAATGCTGGTTGCTGTGGGCGACTACAACCAGGCCTACTTCTACCGACGAGAAATCTTCGATACCCCACCACAAATACCGAAACCGCATAATCGACTCAACAGTTCGAGTGTACGATGGGAGCGACTGTGCAAAGTCACCTTGCACGCGCAGCCCGAGACGACTGTCGGCTACTTTACGACAGCCTGGTCGCCCAGCGGCTCGCTTGTGGCAGTGGGCAGCGAAGGAGGCTACATCACCGTCATGGACACGGAAATACTGAATGACTCTGCGTGCGACAGCGAGAATCGCGACGAGGCCATTGTGGCTGTGGTACCTGGTTCGCGAGCCGACTTTCCTAGCCCGCATCCTGGCGCCATACGCAGCATGCTGTTCAGCCCCGATCCTTGGGATTTGCTGATCTGGGCAGAAGACCAGGGTCGAATATGCATTGGCGATATGAGAACAGGGTTGAAGAGCAGGCAAATCATACCTCTGGAGATGAAAGAAGAAACGTTGAATAAGATCACGTTCGACGATCTACCGCTGGAGGAGAATGATCCAGCACTGTTATATCCTCCCTCGGTGATACCGCATCTCGACGATCTCGAGGCAGACCTTATGAGGCGGTATCGTATGAGTCCAGACAATGCCACCGCCGTGAACTTTGCTACAGAATATATCGAAGCTCGGCGTGCGCACAGGGCGGCAAGACAAGAGTTGGCGAACAGGACACAAGGCGACCCGGGAGGGTTGACCGCGAGAGAGCAGCAGATACTGGAGACACTACGAACATCACGGCAACGAGAAGAAGCACGGGCAGGTGGACAAATCCCTCGATCTGTCAACTACACAACGCCTGACATATTCACATCAGGCGCACGCGCTTCATCCTCCGCGTTGGCAGCCGCAGAATCCGACTCTGCAAGACCTATTAGCGAAATCCTTAGCTCCGTACAAGACTCCTTTCCGGAACTGAGTAGAACTCACGCAGCTAGTCCTGGACCTCATAATGCTTCATCAGATTCGCTCCCGCCGCTCCATGCGCTGCAAGAAGGAGTCTGGGGATCTGCCGCCAGATCTGGTTTAGGCCGACTGACTGAAAGCTCATCGCGCTTGCCTAGAAGGCGGCAGTCGGTCATACTGAATCCAGCCTCGTCGAACGGCGTAGCTTCGGCATCTGCCAGTACCTCACGACGTGATCAACCTTCAGCGCGGGATGATGAATCCGGCGATGTGAATCCTTGGAGTATCGTCGAAGAACAAATCTCATCCACGGCCAGAGGTCCACTTTTCGAAGGCGCTGCTCGAGCCCAGGCTGCATCTCCAGTCCCTGCCGAGCGCGAGCGAGAACGCCGCGAACGCATCGCAGATAGCCTTCAACAAGGCCTCGAAGAAGGACGGCGGATCGCCAACGCGCAGGCCAGGGTTAGAGAACGCTGGAGCCGTTCGCGCTTAGGTGGTGGTGGCGGTGGTGGTGCCAGTGGCGTGACCATGGCCGAAGCCAGGCGTCTCGCCGCTTTCCCTGAAGGTTACGATGCGCTCCTCCGACGCACGCAAATGCGAGGTTACAGCGGGAGAGAAGTCGGCGTCAGGACTGCTGGTTTGGCGATGAATCCTGATGGCCGCACGCTCTGGGCTGCGTGTGAGGAGGGGATTTTCGAGATTGATGTTCGAACTAAGGCCAGGATGTTTTTGCCGTGTTGTGAGTTGCGGTGATGATGTTCAATGAATGAATGGGTTAATGCGATTTTTTTTTTCTTGAGAGTGGTTGAGTGGTTGATTGATACCCGCGCTGGTATGAAAACCAATGAACGAATGAATGAGTAGATAGATTATGAGGAGGAAGAGGAGTATGTATACATACATGTATTGATAATACATTCCACTTTGAAGCAAGGTATGTATGGCACTTCATTTTCTTTTTCTTTTCCTTGCAGGGAAAAAATCTTACCTACTACCTAGTTACTTAACTATCTTAAATTCCTTTTTTTTCTTCTTCTTCTTCTTCTTCCCCTATATAAAATCTTTTTCGATACTACGCTAAAAAGCCTTCTATAATAATAATAATTATCTATTAGTAGACATTGTCGTCGTCGAAGAAAACTACTAGTATTTTTTTTTTCTTTTCGCCCGAAAAAAAAACCCCCGAAAAGTTTCTTCGGATTGATTTGAAAGTGAAAGTGAAAATAAAAATGAAAATGAACTTTTATCGTTGTTGTTGTAGTGTACTGTTGTTTGTGCGAGCGAGCGAGCGACCTGGTAGTGGTGGATGCTTGTGTGTTCACGAAGAAATCGAAGAGTGTCTTCGAGCTAGTTAGTATTCGCAGATAAACAAGTACGTATATACTCACTCGAAGATGAGCTAGCTTCGATGGATGTTGTTTATATAAGAACAGCTAGCCACAGGGCCTCTGATGTGAGACGAGCGCAGCGCATCTCTGGCTGGTTACCCACTTGAACTCACTCCTCTTCATTCATCCATGATCACATGATCAGCTAAGCATCTAGAGATGATGAAGAAGCTCAATGCAAGCAACAGACTCTGTGGGTGAATATGAAGCGTGATTTTTGATTATTCAAGATCGGAGGAGAGACTTGTGTAATACATAGCAAGAATCCAGCTAAAATACAACATCGCTGCTTCTTACAGGCACCCCGGCCGGCCGTCATATGCATAATTCCCATCTAGGTCTCTCTACGCGCCTCAACAAATGCTTCTCGTGCCAGATACATTAACACATAGAGTGGTGCCTCTACCGCCGCCGCCGCAGATCGGAGCGGAAATGGCAATATCGGTACAAATGTCGCCAAGCGACTCATGGCACCAGAATCCTCGCTTTTGGTAGCTGAGCTCAGCTGGGTATAGACAAAACAGTACATTAAAAAAGGCTAGAAGTTAAGCGCTTCATGGCTTCTTCTTCTCCTCGCCCTGCTGTTGCTCGCCGGTCGGTTGCTCTCCCTGCTGCTGGCCTTCCGATGAGCTCTCAGAGCGGGCCTTGTGGAGCTTGTCGAAGAGAGTGAGGGAAGCAGTCTGGAGCTCGTCGGTCTTGGCCTTGATCTCCTCAGCGCTGGCAGTGCCCTCGCCGGTCTGGTTCTTGGCGATGAACTCGCGGAGAGAGGTGATGTGCTCACGGATCTTGTCGGCCTCGGTCTTGTCCAGGCGGTCCTCAAACTCCTTGAGTGCCTTCTCGGTGTCGTTCACAACGCTGTCCGCACGGTTGGCGGCCTCAATGGCAGCCTTGCGACCCTTGTCGGCATCTGCGTACTTCTCCGCATCGTTGACCATGTTCTGGATCTCCTCGTCAGAGAGACCAGAGCCGCTGGCAATGGTGATGGACTGGTCCTTGTTGGTAGACTTGTCCTTGGCAGCGACGTGGACGATGGAGTCGGCATCGATATCGAAGGTGACCTCGATTTGTGGAACACCACGGTGGGCAGGTGGGATACCGACAAGCTGGAAGTTTCCGAGGAGCTTGTTGTCGCGGACGAGCTCACGCTCACCCTGGTAGACCTTGATCTCGACGGCAGACTGGTAATCAGCAGCAGTTGAGAAGGTCTGCGACTTCTTGGTGGGGATGGTAGTGTTGCGGTTGATCAGACGAGTGAAGACACCGCCGAGAGTCTCAATACCAAGGGAGAGAGGAGTGACATCGAGGAGGAGAAGGTCGGTGACCTCACCAGCAAGTACACCACCCTGGATGGCAGCACCGATGGCGACAGCCTCATCTGGGTTGACAGACTTGGCTGGCTCACGGCCGAAGATGCTCTTCACCGACTCAGTGACCTTTGGCATACGAGTCATACCACCGACGAGGATGACATCCTGGATGTCCTTGGCCTGAAGGTTGGCGTCCTTGAGAGCCTTGCGGACTGGTTCGACGGTTCGGCTGATCAGTGGGTCCACAAGAGACTCAAGCTGGGCTCGAGTAAGCTTGGTGTTGATGTGCTTTGGTCCAGAAGAGTCGGCGGTGATGAAAGGCAGGTTGATGTCGGTCTGGAGGGCAGAGGAAAGCTCAATCTTGGCCTTTTCAGCAGCCTCACGAATACGCTGGATGGCCATGCGGTCGCTGGAGAGGTCAATGCCCTGCTCGCTCTTGAATTGCTGGACGAGGTGGCGGACGAGAGTGATATCAAAGTCCTCGCCACCAAGGTGGGTGTCACCGTTGGTAGACTTGACCTCAAAGACACCGTTGGAGATTTCAAGAATGGAGATATCGAAGGTACCTCCACCGAGATCGTAGACAGCGATGACCTTGTCGTCCCTCTCAAGGCCGTAGGCAAGAGCAGCAGCAGTTGGCTCGTTGATGACACGGTGCACAGTCAGACCAGAGATCTGTCCGGCGTCTTTTGTAGCTTGTCGCTGAGAGTCGTTGAAGTATGCTGGAACAGTGACCACGGCGTTCTTGACGGTCTTTCCGAGGAAAGCCTCAGCAGTCTCTTTCATCTTCCCGAGCACGAAACCACCAATCTGCGAGGGAGAGTATTTCTGGCCCTGAGCCTCCAACCACGCATCTCCGTTGGTGTGCTGGACGATCTTGTATGGCACCTGCTGGATATCGCGCTGCACCTCGGCGTCCTTGAACTTTCGTCCGATGAGACGCTTGGTGGCGAAGAGGGTGTTCTCTGGGTTGACGACGGCCTGGCGCTTCGCTGAGATACCGACGAGTCGCTCGCCATCTTTTGTGAAACCGACGACTGATGGGGTTGTTCGTGCACCTTTGCCTCATGTCAGCCACCATTGCTTCAAGCTCCATCTCTCCGCCTGATGTTTTGGATATGCATACCTTCAGAGTTCTCTATTATTCGTGGTGCCTTGCCCTCCATCACAGCCACTGCAGAGTTGGTGGTACCCAGATCGATACCGATTATGGGACCCTTGACCTTGCCGCTGTCGGCATTTGTGTCCTCCGCATATCCTCTTCGGAATTGCGATGTGAGTGGCGCGCGATATGCTGATGATCGGAGGGTAGATTGTGCGCGCGGGACGGCCTGTATGCGCATCAGTAAATTTTGCTCGCGTGATGGCAACCGATCGCCAAACGTACGCTCCGCAGTCTTGAAGAAAGCATCTTGACTGTATTATGACACTATGATACACACGAGTAAGGAAGCGATGAAGAGACGGGGTGCGCTGGCGGTAGAGGGGTGGAAAGAGATGGTGATGGCGCAAAAGCAGATGGAAAAGAAAGCCAGCCCAGGAGCTCTTCGCTTTGGCTTGTTCATAGATTTTAGCTTTGGGGCCCGTGCGCTACAAGCCGAGCTCCGACTGCCTCCGTGGAATATTCTCGACTTCAACTGTGCTCGCCTCTCTCACACAGATACCTCGCTCACATGACATGCTAGCTATTGGCAAGTGAGGCTGTATATTCACTCAGTGAGCCCGAGCATTAGTCAATGGCAGTGACACTTGGCAGATTCCGAAACAGGACCTCCGACTGATACTGGACCATCAGAGATCGAGACGAAAGCGATCAGAGCGAAAGCTGTAGGGAGCATCGTACAAAAGAGGAAGTCGCTGCGATGAGACCAACAAGAATGCAACTTTCACAGTCATGATGATAGCGAAGACTAGCGCCATTATATCGCTGCGTGCATCATACAAAAGCTGCCAGTGAATGGGCGAAATGTTCACCGCAAAAGCGACCAGGTGTATGTCCGATGCCCATATAACAAACCTCTAGGCCACGGCTGCTTCAGCCTGACGATGTAATCCTTCTGGTGTTCAGCCAATCTCTTAGCATGCTGAGCCGAATAGATCCGATCGCTTACTTCAAAGTTCAGTCATGCACGCTTTCTTTTACAGCTGGAGACAGAATGTAGCCAACTTCTCAACTTAAGCCATCAATCAATCTCCAATCTTCGATTCTCAAACAGTTGCTCACCCAGTTCGACATGGCTCCCATCGACAACTGGTACGACCACAACAAAGCCTTCTGGGACGCATACCACATCGGCCGTCCAAACATCCCCGACTCGTTCTTCAATCGCATCTACGACTACCACAATTCTCACGCCGGGAAATTCGATCTAGTACACGAACCCGGCGCAGGCCTCGGGATCCATTCTTTACGTCTAGCCGAAAAGTTCTCTCGAGTCCTCATCACAGACCCTAGTGACCAGAACATCGAAAGTATCAAGCAAAGACTCTCATCACCACCCACGCAGCAGAATCATGGCGAAAACCTCGAAATCCACAAATCCAAACTAGAAGATATCCCAATTACTCTCCCTCAAACAACCGGAACCGTCGACCTAATTTTCTGCGCAACAATGCTCCACTGGACCTCCATCCTCCCGGCTATGCAATCCATCTCCTCCCAACTCGTCTCACCAACCGGAACCTTCGTCGCCTTCAGCTGCGGAGCCTTACACCTATACGAAAAAAAGATCAACGAAATCTGGATCCCAATCATCCCCTCGGAAACCTCAAAATTCTTCCGCAGAAAATACAACGCTTGCTCGACATCCCAAGAGAAAAAAGCGTTAATAGATTGGGCAATAATCGGTCGTTCAGCTTATGATTCCGTTCTTATCGATCCCGACCTCTTTACAGATGTTCAACGTATAAAATTGAACTATGATACTCCGGGGTTTGATTTGAGGACTGCAACGATTGGGAATTTCGTCGATGATATTTTTCCTTTGGATTTGGAGCCTTTTAGTGAGGTAAAGGAAGGGGAAGATGTTGTGAGGGAAATGTGTGCTGAGGGATGGGAGTTTGAGGGGGGCATTGATGTTTTGAGAGCTGTGGCGGAGACTTTTCCTATTGAGAAGGAGAGCGAGAATTTTAGGACAAGGTGGGCGGAGTTGGAGAGTGTGGTAGGGGATGGGAAGGTTAAGGGTGTTTGGCCGGTGAGTTTGATTATGGCGACGAGGAAGTAACTTCGCGGTTCAATCTGGCTTAGAAGGTAATCATGTTTTCAGCACTGATGTATAGATGTCTGCATCCATGCGCAGTCTTCGCGAACATTTCTCACCTCGAGCTACGTGCGTAGTGTGACACTGTCATGAGTGCTTCCCGCAATAGTAAAGGGTTGATGACATTCGCTTGACAGCGTAGAGTCGACATGGCAATAACGGTGAATTGTGTGCTAGACAGTGCTACTGCAGCCTTCTACGCTGTAATACAAACCAGATGACAACGGCCAAATGGCTTGGAAAATCGTCACGGACATGGCTCTACAGACGATGAGTGTCAGAGGGGTTTGGCGACGAGCCAGCGATCAAACAGGGCATGGTGCTGACAGCAATAAGCAGACAAGGTCGCGTGTGCGAGCTTGCTGTTTTGTGCTCCAGATCCATCAAGGAAAGGTGGGAAGGGGAAAGAGCATTGGCAATCAAGCCTCGTCCGCCTTACGGCAAGACTCAGCGACACCTTAGGAGGACAAGCCATCCATTTCGCTCATAGACTAGCTCTACCTATGGGGCAGTGCGTGCATGCATGCATCGAGTGTGTGCAGAGAAAAGACTGCACTAGTCACATCTCCCACTACCTGCCGCCAGAACTCCGTCCAAAGGTCGTGATCGCGTGTCGAGGGTGTAGAAGTTTTAGGCGCGTGGGTTGCGGTCACCGAATCGGCGTGGGCGCTCGGCGACCTGCTGTTGCTGGACAGCGACAACGTTGACTGGGATGCTGTCGAACTGTGAAATTGTCAGCTTGGAGCGCAAAATTGTGCTATTGGTATGACTTACGCCCAAAGACTTAAGCAGATCCTTGGTCTCCTGGTCAACATCCAATTGACCGCTCTCGCTGTTCTGGGTGAAGTCCAAAGCAGAGACCTCTGGCACGTATTGATCCTTGCGCTCACGCTCCTCTTCTTGCAGCTTGAAGGAGATGCCACGGACTGGACCGCGCTGAATGCGTTTCATAAGATGGGTGGTATAGCCGGCGATCTGGATCGCATTATTAGTGACTGCGCAATGCATCCGACATCTGCTGCCATACCTTGTTGCGCAGGCGCTTGGAGGCGATCACAGCGATCTCATCGCAGATACGCTTGTTGGTCTCGAAGTCGAGGGTGAGCTTTGGGTAGTATCGCTCAATGATGACCTTGGCGGACTTCTTGACGGTCTTGGTGCGAACGCGACCCATTTTGACGGTGTTGTGGTTGTCGTTGGGCGGTGGGTGGGTGGGTGGTGGATTGGCGCTGGCAGACGAAGTCGAAGCTGCGATTTCGAAAGGTTGTGTCCCAAGTCGCCAAGAGATTTAAACTTTGTGGGCCTCGCTAGTCTGGACACTGTTGTGAATCGTGCTAGGGATGCAACTAATCATCGGATTGACAACTATATAACTATACAAAGAAGGATTAGGAGCCTGCTATAGAAACTGCAGTTAATATACCCATTGTATGTCCTTCCTCTTAGTATAGGTTAGCTAATAGTATTAGCTAACTAGTATATTACCTAACTAAACTATAATACTCCCCCTTAGGTAGAGATAATGTGCTGTTTAGATTGGATACTCTAAATCTAGGCTTAGAGCTTCACTTTATCTTCTAACTGCCTTTAGATATTAGACTATATCTGCTTTATATACAGCTTTATATGCTATACTACTTATACGTACTTATATTATATTGTTTGCTAATTAGTTTGCTTTAGAGTAATGTCTTTAGTCGTAATTGCAGGGTTAGCAGGCGCCTATAAAAGATACTTGAACTTAACTAGATAACTTGAACTTTTACAATCTACTCTTTAGTAATCCCCTAAGTACTAGCAGCCTCTACTAGAATTCAAATTCTTACTAAGACCTTTTAAGTCTAATAGCTAGCCGAGACTTTATTATAGCGATAATTCTTTACCCTAGCCTAGGGAGTATAGCGAGTAGTATAGGTAGTAGTAGTAGCGGCGGCGGTAGTAACGATCTAAATAAGAATCGGTACCCTTCGCGTTATAATAAGCTCTAGCTTATAGAGACTAGTAAGCATTGCTATTAGAGGTTCCCCTTTTCTAACAATTTGCTAACTAGGCGTAGTCCTTAAGGAAGTTTAGTTAACTATCGCGATTCTCTAGAGAATTATCTAGTGCTTAACTAATATTAGTCCGGAGCAGACTCCGCCTTAGCTACGTAACGTTAATGTTAGGTATCTCATTACGAGCTAGGATAATGCTCGGCTGTTTCCAAGTGTACCTCCGCGTCTGCGTAAGGCGGCTAAGGCATTCAATTTAGGCTTAAAATCGAATATTAACTACTTACCTGCCGCGCTTATGTATACGGCTGCTGCTAGACGCGTATATACTAGTAATAGCTAGTACGGTCCTTGCAAGTAGTTAAAGGGTCCGTACTTAGAGTATATAACTCTAAGTTATCGAATTAACGGTTAGGATATCGCTTTCCTAAAGGGCGCTTATACTAACTATACTAGCCTAAATTATTATAGTTAATACGAGTTCTCTAGTAAGTTGAATCTGGTCTTGTACATTTTTTAAAGCAAAAACACTAATCCTTTTGTTAGGTTACGTCTCTCGGCTACGCTCTAATACGAATCGTTAGACGCCTATAGTGCCTCTACCGCCTCGCAATCCGGAGAGCAGAGCAGGTACTAATTAGCGTCGTCTGTATATGCTAGTCCCGTCTAGCATCGATTAGAGTACTCCTTAGGGCGCCCAGGTAGTAGCAAATTTGCTGCTATAGTAGGCAAATGCTTATGCCTAGGCTGCTGCTTAGGGACGTAGTCGTAGTCTAGGTTCTAGGTTGTCTACTAGTCCTAGCTCGACTCGTAATTCTAGTAGTCCTTAGAGGGGTTTCTCCAATTACGAAGACAGTAATACTAAGATAGGTAGCTAATTAGGGAGATTCGGTTTTTTCTAGTAGACAGAGAGCTATAATATGTGTTTTCGATTTTGAAATAGGCTAGGCAGTCTAGATTAGTAAAAGCCTTATAGCATTAGAGAGTTTCTAACTCTTAAGGGCTAGGGTATTTCTTCCTGCTTGGTCCCAATGTTGTTACAAAAGAAATTTTGCAGCTTAGACTGTATAGTATGAAATTCGGTGAGTGTATAAAGCTTGTTTTCTAATCCTACAAATAAGATTTCCCCTTCTAAAGGAGCAACTTAGGAGTTTGTCCCAAAGACGCTGTATTATTAGAGAATTTTGTTTAGAGATTTGGGCTCAGCAAAACAGTCCGCTAGCTATTTGTTAGTAGTAACGAATTCGACACTAATCTTTCCCTAGGTATACTGTTCTCTATAGTAGTAGTTCCTAAGGGAAACGTGCCTCGACCTCTTAGAATTTGTATAGTCCTTAACAAGGGAAATGGCTAACTAGTTGTCTACCTAGACGTAAATCCTATTAACTTCTTCCTTAGTAAGTAGTTAAAGCTTAGTTATTAAATTTCGGAGCTAGCAGATTTCTCTGTATACTTCTATTAGAGCAATATGCTCTACTTTAGTACTAGAGAGTACGACTTCCTTCTAGAGCTATAATCTCTATATAATTGGAGTATTGTTAAGAAGCACAAGGGCGCCTAATATTAATCTTAATAATAAAGGGTTACTAGCAAAGTCTGCGTTAGAGTATGCCTGAAATTCTAAAGTTTTCTTCTTTCTAAAGACAAGTCCTTTGTCAACTATACTAGCAATATACCTCTAGAGATGTTTAGTAGCTATAACATGCTTAGGTCCGGGATTCTAAAGGAACCTAGCAAGGTGGTTAACGGCATAGCTGATATCTAGTCTAGTCTGGTTAGCTAGAAACTGCATTTTACTAATTATAGTGTTAAATAGCTGGTAGTCGGAGTCCTAACGGTTATAGGGGGTTGTAAGAGGCTCGTAAAGCTTCTTAAGTAGATGCTTTATTAGCTTGTACTAGTCTAAGCTATACTTCTAAAGCTTCTCTTTAGTATAGTGTATCTAGGAGATAGTAAGGTTTCCCTCCTTGTCTTCCTTTAGATAAAGGCCTAGAAACAGGTTAGACGTAACAATCTTGATTGTATACTTCTTACGAAGACCTTTAATTAGAGCATCGATCTTTGCCTTAGAGGTTCTAAAGATTTAGAAGTTATCTATATAAAGGAGGACAAGAATACTATTACCTTGCTATAGGCAATAGTTACTCTTTGTCCTGCTTAGGCTAAGTTGACGAAGAGTATCTAAAGCATTATAGTACTAGAGATTAGCAGCCTGCTTAAGGCTATACAATCCTTTTCTAATACGGATAATCTACTTTAGAGGGTGCTTCTTAAATAGGTACGCGCCTTCTAGGGGTCTAATAAAAATCTCTTTATCTAGAGGGGGATTTAAGAAAGTAGTCTCGATATCAACCTGTCTTCGCTTCTAGTTTTTGTTTACTAAAAGCCTAAGGATAAGTCTAGTAGTAGCTGCTCTTAGTGTAGGAGCATAGGTGTTAATATAGTTAAGACCTTGCTTCTATATAAAGCCTCTAGCTATCTATCTTGCCTTGTATTTATTAATAGAGCCGTCTAGCAGGTATTTAATCTTAAAAACCCATTTTCCTATTAGAGGTGTCCTGCCTTTTAGTAGGGATTCGGCTAGAATCTACTCGATTGTACTAGACTTTTTAAGAGACCTTATCTCTTTTGTAACGGCTTTTCTCTATTTATCCTAGTTAGGCCTTTTTAGGGCTTTAGCTAGGGTTATTAGGTTAGCTAGCTTCTAAGCATCTTTTATAGTAGCAGCTATAGCAATCTTAGTAATCTTGCTATAGTTATACTTAGCTACGGCTCTGCTAGACCTAAGTCGTACTTCGGCTTAAGGAGGGTTTGGTTAAGGTAGGTTAGGAGCCCTCTTTCTCTTACTAGTAGTCTTAGGGACTTAGAAGGGAGTGATTAGGGTGTCTTCTAGTTTAGCAGTATCTGTTTCTTAAGTATACTAATCTTTCTTAGGAGCAGCTTCCTACTAGGCAACTAGTAGTTCTAGTTAGTGATTTTAGAGTGTTAGCTTATTAGCTATAGGTATTAGCTAAGGTAGTGTTCCTTACTTAAGTGTACCTTGCTCCCCCTAAGCTATAAGGGAGTCTTCCTAATCTTCCTGATTATAAGCCTGCTAAGGCTAAGGGATGCTACCTCCAAATGGCTCCCCCTAAGGTTCTAAAGAGTGCTAAGGTGTTTAGTCATTACTAGGGAATAGTGCTAAGATTCCTAACTCAAATGAAAGGTCAGACTAGGTTTCAAGTACCTAAATAGTCTCTTAAGGGATAGCTAGTCTTAAATACTCCCCCTAAGCTTGAAGGGTACTTAGAAGCTTAGCGAAATTGTCTTTGTAGACAAAGTCCTCGTTAAAGGTAACGTATAGAGAGAATCTAATATTATGCTACTATACGCTATCCTTCTAGTACGGGTTCCAAAGCAGATAGTTTGTTAATGAATTTTCTTAGAATCTAATAAACTAGTAAACGAAAGCTCTTAGTGCAAATTTCTAGGAGTTAAGTCGTTCAACCCTAGATTCGAGGTATTTGAATGCCTTATAGCTAAATCGTCTCGTCTTAGACAGGTTAATGTCTGTACTACCGATATTTAAGTCTAATTCGAGAGCCTTAAGTGGAACTTCCTTAGTTCTTAAGTTCACTAGTCTGTTAGTTAGGTAAATCGAATGTATTACTACAAAGCACTAGCAGTATATTAGTAGGCTAGAGTTAATCATTATTGCTCTTGCCTTAAGTAGAATCGTCTTGTTTGACGACTCTACAATGCTATTCTGCTCCGGTATATATAGTGTAGATATATCCTATCTAATGCTAACTTCCTCTATAAAATATACTAGATCGTTGTTAGTAAACTCTCCCCTACTATTACTAAAGATAATCTTAGGGATTTTGTTGTATTGCCTCTTGATTCTAGTTATCTAGTTAGTTAGCTTATTACTACTTATTACCTTATCTTTGTTTCGAAGTAATAGACCCTACCTAAGTCTGGTTTTAGCATTAGTTAGGATTATAATATACCTGTTTCTAAACAGATTAAATGGTTGTACGCTAATAAGGTCAATATAGACTTCGTTAAGGGCTTTTTCTAGTCTGGTTCTATGTTCTCTTAATATAACTCTTTAAGCTCTCGAGAGCTTGTAGGTCTTATAGTGCTCGAGTTTAGATATGTCAACTTCTTCTAGGCCTAGAATAGCTTCCTTAGTAGCTGTTAGGATCTTGTTGCCGACGTAGCTAAGTCTCTAATACTATCTCAATGTGTCCGCTCGTAGTCTAGCGATAGCTAGGGCTAATAGCTGCCCTTTCTAACTCGATTCTAAGTTTAGTTTTAAAGCTAAGCCTAGCATTTTGACTCTAGTATCTTTAAGGGCGAGTACTCCTTATACTTCCTTAACCTTTCTAATTAGCTTACCTTTAAGCATTAAAGTGCCTAAAGGTCTGTCTAAGTGAATGCTATATTTCTTCTAAAGACGCTCTACTAAGATTAGGTTGCAATCTAAGTTCGGGGAGTAGAGGACGTCTATTAGAGTGATTAGGGTTTTCTTTCCTTTATAGGTTAGGAAGATGTTAACAGTTCCTAATCGTAATACACTTGATTTTCCTACTGCTTAGGAGAACTAAATAGGCTTAGTTAGGTGCTTAAGATCGCTAAACTAGCTCTTATTCCCTATAATGTGTAGTAATGTACCTATATCCTAAACTTTTGTATTAGCTGTTAGGTTCTTAGAGCTTACTATAGCTAGTCCCGGCTTTGTAATAGCTCCCCCAATTAGGCCCCTACTAAGGCCGTCTAGCTAATAGTCTCCCTTATCTTCCGAGTTAGAAGAGGAGTCTAATTTATCTTTATTATTATTAATAGTACTACTAGATTTGCCCTTTCCTTTGCCTTTACCCTTCTTGCCTTTGTCTTTGTCTTTGCTCTTGTCTTTCTTCCCCTAACTAGGTAGTGCTATATTAGGGTGTTGCTTATAGCACTTAGCGTTAGTGTGTTTGTGCTTACACTAAGTGCACTAGTCGTTATTATTGCCAATAGCCCCTCTAACAAGCTTTAAGCCGCTAGATAACTGTCTAGGAGGCTTTTCTCTCCTTAGGGACGTTATTATTGCTTTAAGGGAGGAGTCCTTAGCTTTAGGCTTATTGTTATACTTCTAGGATCTAAGCTATTCGTAACTAGAAAGGCCCTAAATAAACAGCATCCTAACAAGCATATTAGGCATCTTGATGTCTAATGACTTTATAGGCGCTTCTATTGTTATAACTAAGCTAGTAAATTGTTCTATCGATGTTTGGAATCTGTTAAACTACTACTAAAAAGATTCGTAGTACTACTAGGTATTCGGATTAGTAAGGGGCATCCTAATATGCCTAATAAGTTTAATAGTATTAAATATGTCTACGGTTATAATAGGCTTGTATAGAGCCTTAATATAGTCGTATATATCCTTAGCTAACTTAGGTATATTACCGAAGTCTAGTCTAAGGGCAGGGTCGAGTCTAGCAATAAGTATGCCTAGGGCTTAGATATCTTTCTTCTTCTAGTCCCTAAATATGTCTCTATACTACTAATCGGCTAAGTCCCCTATAAATATGCTTTTTAGAGGTGGTTTTATTTTATTAGCCTAGTCAAGTCTATAGAATACTATACTAACTAGGTCCTTTTCTAGAAGGGCCGCCTAAAACATAAGCTTCTAGTCTTAGAAGTTAATCCCCTTCCTAAGAACTTGATTCTCCTTTACTATCTTTGTCTGATTAGTGTCTATCGTTCCTAGCTGCCTTTTAGTATAGTGCTAGGCAGGGCTTATAAGGGACACTTACTAGGTTTTAGTCCGAACTAGAGCTCTTAACTAGGTACCTAATAGGTCTAGATAGCTAGCTCTGTTTGGTGGACTCTAGAAACAGTTCTTTTATAGTTGAACTAGACAGGTAAGCGTATACGCCGGGCTTATAACCTGTTGTAAATCGTACTAGGGATACAACTAATTATCGGATTGACAACTATATAACTATATAAAGAAGGATTAGGAGCCTGCTACAGAAACTGCAGTTAATATACCTATTGTATATCCTTCCTCTTAGTACAGGTCAGCTAATAGTATCAGCTAACCAGCATATCACCTAACTGAACCACAACAGACACCTGATGTTGGCCTTACTTGCATCCTTCTTCGACTGCACCAAAGTGTGATGCGCGCCAGCCAGATGAACTGGTTTCGGCAGTCTGGGTGCTGCAATCGTCTTCTCCAGCTGTCGCACCGGTATGAGCACCTCATAGCCATCCCAAATGCTCGCTCAGGGACCCGCACTTCCGCAATCTCACAATTCTCTCGACATGCTGTCAACAAGGCTCCAACCACTCCCGAACGATGACTAGAGAGTAGCTCTACTCGTATTTCACTGATTGGAGCCTCTTGGCCGGCAGGAATGGCCCGAATCAACAGGTGTAAAACTTTGGAAGCGCTTTGAGCTTCTGGTACTGGTGATGGACATCAAACAAGATTCTCAATGCTCTCGTTGGCATCCGGCTAGCAAGGCCCAATGCAGCGATCGATATACTGTAGCGCATTGGCGAAGTGATGGAGCATCACATGTACGTTATCTACGCTGAACAGCTGACAGTGCTACAGTCTTTTCGTCCTGATGGGACCATAATTAGATTGGATCAACAGCACATCGCATGATTGCTCATTCATGTTCCATACTTGGACTACTTCGGACCAACGAGCGCAGATCTAGATCGACCAGCAGGTCTCGCACAACTTGCTTCAGGATGGGACACTTCGGACATATATGTGCCTTCACAATCTCATGCGGTCTTGATCCTGTCCAGTTCTGATGCATGTCAAGAATTTCGAGGCTCTAATCATGCTCGCAGGTATCAACGTAGAGCTACCTTGCAGTTTTCTTAATTCTACCCGGAGTCTTTGCTTACCATTCCTGCTGCTGTGATTGCCGCTATCTGCTCCTCTTTTCAAGCTTGGCAGACCGCTTCGAGAATCGCTTTCTAGATCTACCCTCTCCAGCGTCACTGGCAGTCACGCATACGGCTCGCATGCAACCAACAGGTATCTACCTATCACCAAGGTCGTGTCAACAGCATTCATATCGTAATCGCGTTATCCGGACAGCGCATCAGGTCGGACATACTACCAGGACGAATCTACCAACAAATGATCCAGTCAGTCTTGCAGCCAGGACATACCTTCTACTACGCCATGTAAATGATTTATTCACAAAGACACTGCTTCAACACTCGGTGTCCCCAAACTATCATTCTGTTGATCAAGCTCGCTTTCAACTAGCATGTTCCTCGAAACCTCAATCGAGGGTCCAAACATCAGCAGAAAACCATAGCAGGATCCAAGTTTGAGCCCTCTCGAGTTGGACTGTCTATGATTGGCAGGCGGCTGGAGGAGGAGAAGGTCCTAGCCATGCTGGAATTTGTGAGCGACATTTTTGGTTTTGATACTTGCTTGGCGGCATTCAAGATCTGAAGCATTCAGATTCCTGCATGCTGAAGTCGGACTTGACTTTAACAGTTTCTAGAGACTGTCAAGTTTTCCCACGACTTTCTGCTAGCGCCCGCTTCTGCTGAGCCAATGATGATGGGCCTGCCACCAATCGTCTTCCCTTCCCTTCTTTCTGCTCACACCACAATACTGCTCCATCACAATGCAAATGCGAACATTCCACTTGCGAGCGCCCCAAACCCATTAGCGCCTCGGTGAGAGCTCCTATTCACTACGTTGTCCAGCATGCGCAACCCTCCTGTTTCGGCCTGACCTTCCACTTTCCCTACGCGCCGTGAGTGGCACAGTAGCGCTAGAGAGCAATGATCCTGCGTCTAGCACAAACACTACCCCCCAAAATGGGAAAAATCACACATGCTCGAGCGGCAAAGCAGCGTCAAACGTTTCAAGCATTCTGTCGTACTACGATAAAGTAGGTGCTGTATGGCTCAGCCTCTCCCGCATCGTTACCACTCTTTCACACTGCCATGTAACGCTCCCACTCCAATCACCACTCCACTCCAGCACCATGCTCTCCATCATGATTCTCTGCCTACTAGCCTCCGCCACCGCATACAATCCACCCAACCAAATACCTCTAAACGACGACGACGAACCTTCTAAGACGATCACGATGTACGTAACAACAACGAAAACACATTACGAATTTGATTTCTATACTACCACGATGGTTCGACAACCGAGACCGACGTCTTGTCATGCGGTGGAGACGATTCCGAGTCGGTGCGATGAGACGGCTTGTGCGATTTGTCGATTGCAGGCGAATTGTCGTAGGGCGGAGGCGGCTTGGTAAGTTAGATGCTTGATTTTGAAGATTGATGCGCGGCTACTGAGGATTTTATGTGTAGTTTTCAGTGCGATACGAAGAATATTGTGAATGTTGAAGTTTGAAACGGAACAGGCTTCTTCGATCGAACGCTAGGCAACTACTATTCCTGCGGGCCGAGGACTTCTATAGTAGGGCTAAGGGGCGAGGAGATTGTTAATACTGTCTTTACCTATATAACCCTCCTACGCCGACTCGCTATACATCTAGTAATCTTTGCCCGGCTTCTACGTTTCCTTAGGAGAGAGGGCTCTAGTCTTGCCGCCTTATAAAACGCAGACTCGAAATATAATGCTAGTATCGGGCCTCCGTCTATCTACCTCCCTTAGCCTACCTATAGCACGGAAGTAATTGCCTAACGACTTCTACCTTAACGAAACCTTTACATTACCCCCGTCCCTTTTCCCTAGAAAACTTCTAAAATCCGTAAATCTATTAAAGATATTAGCGGAGAGAAAGTTTCGCTCCGCATTATAAAGGGCTAGCAACATCGACGGATGCGGGATATTTACTATAATGCAAGATCGAGAGAGATTCTACTATACGGGAAAAAGTCGTATTTAAGGCTTTCTTTTTTTTTTAAAAAAAAAACTATATCGCAAAGTTTTCTTTCGAGATAGAGTTAGGATATCGCAAGGGGGGGGGGATATTTGATTTCTCGGCGTTAGATAACTAGACCTAGCTAATACGATTTATTTGTTTAGGATTTCTTTTCTATTATAGATATCGGTCTTATAATAATAATAAATAACTACTTGCTTTCCTTATAACTAGAAAGAAGTATAGCCCTGTTTCGTACGAATATAGGTACTATTATAGGAAGTAGGAGGGGGGGGGGGGGGGGGGGTTTCGTAGATTTTATCTCGTAACTCGCGTAGAATTAAATCTTTAAGGCAATTACTTATTATAAATCAAAATAACTTTTAGTTTTCCCCTTTAACTAAGGGTAGAAGTTCTTATAGTATATATACTGCCGCCATTTTAATTATAAAGAATTTCGAGTATTACGCGAAGTTAAAGACTTACTCGAATGTGAAGTAAAGCAGAGCCAACCCGTCTGTCTTGGCTGCACATGCATACGCACAGACTAGTGCTACTCCCTTGAGGTTCACTTTTTTAACCTCGAGCAACCTATAAGATCTCACGTGTGAGTACATATGTCGTTTGTAAAAGTTGCTAGATTTCATTACGATTCCCATGTCCTTAACAAAACCGGGTCGTGTCGTGTACGAGACGCCAACGTGAGAAGCTTTTATTATGCACAAAGTCACGCCCTCAGCAGCCCTGTCAAAGAAATTCCCTTCCTACCTTACTGTTCTTGACCGAAAGCGTACTCATAAGGTGGTGCTGAGAATCATCAAAAAAAAAATTAGCAGGAGTTTCAAATTCAAGCACGTCTGCAGCTTGACATACCCGATGTCCCATCACAAGAATACCTCACAACATACCCCGACCCAGAACTATTCAAACTCTGCGCGACGAATCCATTGGGATCTTCTATCGTCAACTGATATTGATAACCACCCACACCCTGTGCATGGACGAATCTCATCGGAAGATATGTGCCGGCTTGAAGAGTGGTGGTGAAAGTGCCTGTTGGCGCAAGGGTCGAGTATGAAAAGTACAAGGACAAGTTCGCGTTTGCTTTCGTCCAGCCTTGTTTTGCGAGTGGTCCGAGCCAGAGGATGAAAGCATCGTCGACACCCGAGGCGGTAAAGCGCCAGGTACCGGTTGAATAGACGTAGAAGTAACCGCGATAGTCGGCAGACCATCGCATGCAAGGAACGGTGCTGGGAGAGGTGCTGTAGATCAGCCTGGCGGGGTTGCTTGGACAATCTTGTGCAGTGAAGCCTCCGATCCCGGGAATGGTGCTGTTGTAGTAAAGCGTGTCCCATGTGCTGTTGGATCCAGGCGAGTCTCGAGCTTTTAGATATGTCGGATCGTAGAGGGAGTATGCATCGTTGTCCACATGTGCTGGTTGGTTGTTATAGAACACTGCATACTCCATGCCTTGATTATCGCAAGTAGATGGCGTTGGCAACATTCCTGCGAGGCTTGTTGTCGCTGTGATGGTTGTGACTCGAGTTGCCGTCAGTGTTTGCGCTGGTGGGGTGAACGTCACGGCAGGAGGCGTTTGAGTCTCCACAATTCGCTGTACTACGGTGCGTGTGTTTAGATTTTGCTGTATGCTGGCGATTGCACTCTGAAGAGCGTTGATCTGATCCTGAAGCTTTGCACAAGAAGACGCCGAGAACAATTGCAATTGAACGATTCGACACCCGCTTGGAAAGCCGTATTGCGAGAATACGGCATAAATGTAGCCATTCGTATCGGAACAGAATTGAGCTTGACCATTGTAGAAGGATGGGTTCAGCCATGACAGAGTGCCCTGTGCGCCGAAAGAGAATGTCGTGTTGATAGGGTTGGAAGAGGAAGCCGGAACGAATAGTTGAGATGCGACCCCGGCGCTCGTCGAATAGATGTATGCCGAGCCCTTGACTAGAACAGCCAAGTTGCCATTGTTGATTCTGTATAATGGTGACGAGCCGCAATCATTGGTGATCGAGCCGACCACATCCACGAAATTGACCTCTCAGATCGTCAGCATTGCTCCGCCGTGGAATCCTTCCAGCCATACATACTCCGCCCGCGCCTTCTTGCCTCTTATCCAGCTCTCCTCCGTACGACGCGACCAGACGATAGGCATCCAGGTACGCGTCCAACTCCGAGGCCTCTTCTGCAAGCGATGCGGCAAGGCCTTCATCTGAAGCCGCGCTGCTGGAGGTGATGGAGCTCAGATCCGTCCATTCGGCGCTGGTCGCAAGACTTGACGGGATCGACGGACTGCTCGTAAGCTTCGATTCGGGGGCTTGTTTCGCTGAAGGATAGTCGCGGCGAGCTTCATGGTCGCGCTGCATTTGAGGCCAATACGCGTGGCAGAGCGCACAGTATAAAAGCCATAGGCTCGCATTATGCCACATCTCTCGAGTATCGGTAACGCGGCAGAAGAGTTGCGATTCACGGACATCGGTGGGGGATCTTTCGCCTTCCATACCTCGCTTTGCCGTGCCGTGCCGTGCACTCGCGAACCCATTCCATTCCACCATCTGGGCTCTGAGCATTAACGCGGTGGCGGGCCGCTTACTCAGACCTGACCGCCGTAGATGTATCAAAAAAGCGTTGGTCTGAGGAATCATGGTACCGGGTGACAGATGAATCGCCTCGCCTCGCCTCTTCACCGCATGTGGGACTTGATCGCGAGTTCTTGTGGTCCCAAAGGTTCATGGTAGTCGGTACGGATCTCACGTTCGGCGATCGCGACGCAAGGGATGTGAGGCCCCAGATGTACAGCTTGATACATGTTGCAAGCGTGCGACGTGGATTGTGATGTTGACGCTCAGAGTCGTTGCTGTAATGGGATGGATCTTGATTAGTGGTAACTGTTGCAGTACAGTAGTCGGAGTAGGTACACTCACCTCTTCGTCCCGTGCCGCTGCCGTCGCCGTAAGTAGACGCAACTCGAAATCTACAATGCCATCGATCCACACAGGCAGTGATATGAATGAGAAAGGGGGGCATAACATAGTTGGTTAACCTCATTTTCGCCCACCCGGCCGACCGCTATTTGAACTCCCCTCCCCATTCATCGATCGCTTTAAATAAAAGCTATAAAAAATGTAAAACAGAGCTTCTTCTTCTTCTTCTTCTTCTTCTTCGCCTGGGTATCAAATATCGCGATACCCCAACATCGCATCGCATCGCATGCCAACCAAACAAAAAATGAAGATAAGATCCAAAGTACCCGACCAGACCAGACCCTATGCTTCCCTCCCTCCCTCCCTCCTGAACAAAAGCCCCAAAACGCAAACGCCAAGAGAGCTCCCAAAGTGTTGCGTTCCAAACAGAAAAGATTTTGGCTGGCTGGTTTGCATTATTACTGACTTGTGGCTCGTACAGCAAGAGTCAATTTTTCATTCCGTTCCACCGCAATATCCAAATCCTCGTCGCTTTCCAATCGATAGTACTCGCCATCCTTTTCGTCTCGGTATTCGATGTCGAGATCTTCGTCATCTTGGTCTTGGCCCTTGTACTCCAGCTTTCGCCTTTCGACAATCTTCTTGTGGAGTTCGTCAAATGTGAATTGTCCTCGCGGTGGCATGCGTATCACGACACACGTGTCCCTATCAAACCATGCTTTGACTTTGACGGGGCCTGTTGAACCGGTGGATCCCATTGTATTGCTCGTCATGGCGCGTTGAGGTTGCACGGGCAGACCGGGAGCATTCGGCGGTGACTGTGATTGTATGCTGGCGTTGGCTTGTGACTGCTGTCCTCTTTGGTGGCCGTAGGGACCTATCGAAGCCTGAGATTGCGAGTATTGGTGGCCTGCCGGCGGTGGAGGTCGCGCTTGCTGTTGATGATAGGGGTTTTGTTGGTTCTGGACTTGCTGTGACCCTTGTGAAGCCTGCGAGTATCTATCGCAGGAATCTCCGGGCCGTGCATGGTCGTCCAGGTTCACCGCCTGGGGGTCGACTTCGTAGTCTCCTTCACGTGGCGAAAAGAAGTTCCGCACTAGTGACGAGCAGGTAACGTGGCTAGGTAACCGTAGTAAATCGCGCAGGTATTCGTCCAGATTCGACCGTCGACCCTCCGTGATGTTATCAGTGACGAACTTGACTGGTCCCGGCATGTATGGCAATATTCTAGGCTTTCCCGACACCTGTCCAGCCTCGTCAGGGAATGCGTTTATTAGGTTGATCTGCAATTCGTAGAAGTCCTCGTAAATGCGCGAGAGATCCCAGTGCGAGCCATTCGATAATTTGCACTCGACTACAAAGTGGAACTTATCATCTGCAAAGGTGTAGCGGGGTACGGATGCTCGCACGGGCGCGAAGAGGTTCTGGTGTTGCTGGGTGTTGTACGAATTACTTCGAGCATGTCCGTTCTGGAAGCCGTTGCTGAGGCTCATTCGGTCCATGCCTTGCTGTATGCTGCCTACGCCTGCGGTTGAAACAGTGCCCAAGGGTATACTGGTGTTCTTGTATTCCGCCGCCATCTTCTTCCACTCCTCGACTCGTGGGATGCCGGCTTTCTGAACGGCATCCATTGCATCTGGCACTGCTTGACCAGTGGTCATATCCCTGATTTCGATGAAGGATACGGGAATGAGACCAGGCCCTCCGAGTCTGGTTATGGGCTTCGCCACGAACCACTCTGGATTTGATTGCGCAATAACAATTATGGCCTCGCCCTCTTTCGCATCCAGCTCGTCCGGCCTTTCGGCGTGGAAGTCGTATGATACCACGCCATAGATGCCGGCAGGGTTTTTGCCAAACGACTTGGCGCGAGCATGTCCGGGCATCATGGGTACGCTCCCGCTCATTCTCGGGGCGGATGTGGGCGCGGGAGTGATGTGTGAGGGCGGCGTCGAGCCTTCGGCGTATCCGCTATCGTGCGTGGTCGTCGTTATGGATGTGGAGGAATCGCCGCTGTCGCGCACCGTCTTGCCGACGTTCTCGAAGTACTTGACGGGGACCAGTCCTCGCTCGCCGCGCAAGGGATTGCAGGCTTCGTACCACTCGCTGTCGTTTTCTCGGCTCACTACGTGGAGGAAGTCGCCGGCGGAGAAGGACAAGCACATGTTCGTGCCGGGAGGTGCATTATAGTCGTAGACAGCCTTGATGACCTGAGATTGTCGCAGAGTTAGTGGGCGAGTTTCGCTTTCGCGCTTTGTCGTCGCATGACGGCAGTCTTACCTTTTTGGGCGGCTCAATGGCTATGGCATCTTTCTGGGGGATTGATATCGGCACGTTCTTGTTCGCCGAGTCGTGCCTGTCGCTCTTGACCGACCTTCGGAACTGTTCAGGGTGTTAGTGGGTGTGTGGTGGATGGCGCACAGCTTCGCAGCACTTCCCACCTTCATGATGCCGGGCGGCCTCTGTTTCCACGATGTCTGGGGCCGTCGGCGAGAGTGCTGCAGGATAGCAGAGGGGCGCACACGCGCGGTGCAGAGGGAGAGCGTTCGTGAGGCCAATAATGTTGGTAATATGGCTCGCTCGGTCTATGTCTGGGGACTCGCTGTTGCTGGCGATTTATCGGGAAATTGGTGTTCAGCCTCGAGGTGGCCGTGCGGGCTGGCGATTGCGACGGTCGGACTCGGGGTGGCACGTGGCAACAGTGGGTATGGGTGGGTGGTGGAGTCGGAGTCGGCGCAGAAGCGAGCGAGGCTGCGAGGCTGCAGCTGCAACTGCAGCGGTGGGTTGGGCGGCGCGGCGCGGCGATGCGCAGGCGTGGTGGTGATGGAGGAGTGGAGTGTTGCTGAGAAGACCGCTTGCCTCCGAGCTCTCAAGTCCAAGCCCCCCCTCCCAGTCTTACGCTCTCTCTCGTCTGACGCCAACTTTATTTCACAGCAGGGCCAGGCCTGGCACCACTTCCCTCCCGACGCGACCAAGACCTGATCGACGCCGGGCTTTGTTCGGTTGGTGTGGCGAGGAAGTGCCGCGCGCAACAATGGTAAGTTAGCAGTCAAAGAAGCTAGCTGCATGCGATGCGGCTGCAGCAACACCGACCATCCCGCATCACTCACAGCACATACGACTACTGCAGAGAACATGCACAGCAAGCACATGAGAACCCTTCGAATTTATTCCAACTGCTGTACGAGACTGTTACGGGTATGATGGCACCTTTCTCCAATCCTAAATCGCAATCCAGCTATTGGTCCCTGATGACTGACGGTGACTCCCCAGAACTCCTCCCAGTAGATGCAGACATGCGACCAGTGCTATCACTCCTCCAAGTACACCTCATAGAAAAACGCCGTTGACGCCACCGTGTTGGCATCGCGCTTTCGGCGGTGAGGTTAGTTTTCGATGAAGCGCACGGAAAGGGAGCAAAGTGCGCAAAGAGACACGGGACTGTTATATCTGGCCTTTGATGTCCACGCGACCGAACGCCGACTGCTTCGCCACCTCGAAAAGATTACCCGCTTTCCCAGTGTTTACTCGAATGTCGTCGTTCTTCTCTTCCACAAGAGATTGCCCGCCGTATCGCGTGATGAAATCAAGGCACCTTCGAACGTGATCGGCTTCAAACACCGAATCTTCATCGTCCACGGAAAATGCAAGTTCTTTGGCAAGGAATTTGCTGCTGATGTCGGGCTTGTATCTGCTGGCCTGTCAGCATCATGCCTTCAAGTGTTTACGTGCGTCGACTCACGCTCTGCTGATAACCGCCATGGCTGCAAGGCGTTCGCGTTCAACAAACATATCCATCAGATATGGCACCATCGCGCGGTCATTCGCCTCGTCGTAAAGCTTGAAGAATTTGTGGTAGTTTCCAGACGCCAACGCGGAACGTACCTTCAACGCATGCTGCACGTATGCGCCCTTCTTGTCTGCTGTGGTTAGATCTGCCAACATGTTGTTCATGTCGACGCGGCTCCTCGTGTAGAGCAAATACAGAATGCGGTAAGCCGTGAACTCATCTTGGTGGCCTCCGCTCCCACCATTCTCTCCCAACTTCATCCTGTACAGCACACGCAGCTGAGTCTGGCATTGATTGTACTCACCCAAATCCTTCTTCTCGAGAGCAATGCGTGCGTGTACTTCGTACACCCTGATGGTAAACTTGGTCTTGATGCGCTGCACAGTGAGATCTTGCCGGAGGGATTTGAACTGGTCACACACATACGTGTAGTCTTTAGTGCTCCTCCACTTCTGGATTACGTGCTCGAGGGCTTTCTCCAAAACAGGCAACGGCCGAACGGTATTGGGGTTAGGAGGAGCAGTCAGCCTGAAGTAATTCTTCTCCAGCACCTCGCAAGTTCCGACGATGGGACCGATGGGACCGCCAGCAGCAGGAGAGTCATCACGGGAGGAAACAAAATCAGATGGGGAGTCGGGTGAGAGGGCACGGCCGAAGCGCTGCTTACGGCGCTCGAGGGCCTCCTGGCTTTTGTCAAACCACCCGTTGGCTTTACCGTTGTCCTTGGTCTTCTTGTTCTGCTTCTTAGTGCTACCGGCGGTGATGCGGTCGGCAATGCTGACCTGCTTGGTATCCTTCTTCTTCCACGGTGGAGTGACGGGCTGGTTGTTCTCATGCAATACATCCTGGTCGGGAGACTTTCTTTTCTTGCAGTTGGCCTCGGCCGAGACCAATTCAGCGTTTCGCATGGCCTCGTTATGTTTGTTGATGTTAGCTAAGATGGCGCTTTGCGCGGATTGGAGGGCAGCTTGTTGGCGCTCCTGAACTATGAGTTGGTGAGGCAAGGGATAGGTCGACCAATCTCGATCGCCTGTGGTGCCCGAGTCGGCTGCTTCTTTGACTACACTCTGCAGCTTGTGTCTAATGTCGGCGTCGGTGATGCCGCTGAACGCGGGCTCATCTTTGTGTCTATTAAACTCGAAGAAGGCACGCTGGACGTATTCGACAACGGCGGGCGGGAACTGAGTGGCCTTGGTCGGTGTCGCGGCGGGCGCTGGCTCTTTCGCGAGCGAACGCCGCGTTTCGACGGCCGTGTACGAAGGTTGGACAGTCATGGTGATGGCGGAGTGGTAAAGGCGGTCGAGGGTGTTTGCTTGCAGGTCGAGTCACTATCGCGACCGCAAAATCCGTTGGACCGGCAGCGCGTCTACTAGTGCGCAGGATTCGTGGTGAAAGAGAAGAAAGGTTGTAAGTGACGCGGTGACGTCTTCAGAGTGCAGATGGGTGCACTCAAAAGCGTACGTGTCTGCGTGGTTGTGTGGTGTTGGATGGAGTGATGAGTGATGGCAGTAGTGACAGTGGGCGGTGGAGGAGACAAAGGAAAGAAGCAACGATCGCTCCCGGTCGGATCCACTCCGTTTTGTTTCGGCCAATCAGCTTTGCCCCTCCCACTTTAGCACCCTATATATGCTGTCCTTGGGAATCTCCGTACACGATCGCACATGCACAGCCTGGAGGACCGACTCAACCCATCTCAATGAAGCGGGAATCGTGTGCAATCTTGTGCTAGCAATCGCCTGGTCACACACCTCGTACACACTTCCTCCCCGCCAGTCCACATGTCTGCGAATGTTTCTTCGCCATCTGGACCTGACCACTGCGCTCCGGCCTTCTCTGTACGATGACGAAACCTTACTCTTCGTCCAGGATGGGGTCGGGCTCTACGAGGGAAAATTCAAAATCCCCAACTACCAAAACGGACATGCTTATCTGACCTCCCACCGCGTGTGCTACGTGGACAACGAGGAACCACGAAAGTATTCGGTCGCGGTTGATTTGAAGGAAATTGACCGCATCGAACTCTACGCTGGCTTTCTCGTCAAGTCTTCGCCGAAGATTACGCTTTTCCCCAAGGCAACCAAGAAAACTGCTGCTGCTATCAAAAGCCCGCTGCCTCGCTATGCTTCGCCAAGCGATGCTCTGGTGGGCGCAAACAACAACAACAACAACAACAACAACAACACCGCTCGCTTTGGACCTTCTGCGACCTCGGTCAGAGACGTGAATGCCACGTGGATCTGCTCAATATGTGGTCTTGCCAACGCCGTCCCTCCAAACTTCGACCCGGCCACTGCAAATCAGTACACGCCATTGCCTCCCTGCCAGGCATGCGGAGTCAAGCCACCGCTAGCAATCATGATCAAGTCTGCCATTGCAGCAATGTCCAACAGGGCCAGTGGAGCAAGCTCAGCCATGCCTAATTCTGGCCGCAGCTCCATGGAGGCTGGCTCGATGATTGCCTCGCAAGCTGCGACTCAACCTCTTCCTGGTGGCATGAATCAATGCTCACGATGCACCTTTCAGAACCATCCATCATTGACCACTTGTGAGGTCTGCGCGGCGCCACTACAAAGCACGCCGGACCGACGTTCGCAGTTGATTGAGGATGATCTCCGACGTCCAGAGTCTCCAGGACCATCCTTGAACGAAGGTTCAATTCTGAATAACGATGCTATCGAGACGATCAAGCTCTCCTTTCGAATGGGTGGCGTGCAGACGTTTTCGGAGAGGCTCCAGGGCGCGCTGGTGCAACGGAAATGGTTGCTGCAAAGCGCTCCACCTGTGCCGAGAACCCCAATGACACCTCCGCAGACAGGCGGACGCTCTAGCCCTCCAAACAATGGTATGCCATCTACTCCCACGCCACCGCGAGTCGTAGGAATAGCCGGCCTGGAGCAGCGAGGTGCAGAGCTACGGCAAAACAACCAGGCAGTTATTGGCAACGCATTCGAGGATCTGGAAGCACTCATGACTTCTGCTAAGGAAGTGATCCAAATGGCAGAGCAATTCGCGCGGCAAGCGAACGGCAGTGCTAGCGACGACACAAAGAGAATGATCTCAGACTCAGCGGCCGCGCTCGGCTTAGTAACTACCAAAGACATGCTCGGGTCTGGTTCTTCGGCGGAACAGCTCTACACCACGCAGCTTGCCAGAGACTTGGCAGAATTTCTCACCGATGACAGGAAAGGTATACTTCGCAAGGAGGGCGGCATCATGTCGCTCGTAGACTTGTGGCAGGTCTTCAATCGGACACGCAACGGCATTGAGCTAATCTCACCACATGACTTCGAGAAAGCTGCCCGCATGTGGACCAACCTCAATCTGCCAATTCGACTTCGACGTTTCAAAAGCGGCCTCTTGGTCGTGCAGGAGCGTAATCGAACAGACGAGAAGACGATTGCGAGTCTTCTGAGCTGGCTCAGAGAGCCTCAATTTGCCTTTCCGCCATCGGAGCCTGGATGCATTGATCAGTCGTATGGCAGAGGAGTGACTGCTCAAGATGCTGCAGGACGTTTTGGCTGGAGCATTGGAGTGGCCACCGAGGAGTTAGAGATGGCCGAGGAGACTGGTGCTTTGTGTCGTGAGCAGTGTCTCGATGGGACACGCTTCTGGGAGAACCACTTCATGCAGATGCTCATTCCAGAGCCTGCGGTGGTCTGAGTGCAGTCCAGTCTCAGCATGCGAAGTTCCACTTGCATAGCGGAAATCCGTGCACTGCTATTGAGTGAGTCGTGATCCGAGGCCTGAGATTTCATCTCTCGCGTTCCATTCGAGAGACCAGGTTATGATCTATGTCGGGCTATTGCTGACATGCAGCAGTCCGAAGCGCGAACAACACTAGTAACTAGATCGTGGGGTAGAACTAGAAGTACGTAGAGATCATGTGTGCTGGACATGGTTCAATCGATGCATCTCTACCAAGTCCACCGGTTTCGAAGATTGCGCTCGAGAGCGAGTGCCAGGTCGGGTTTCCGCACTAGTGCTAGCGGTCAGTGAATAACCTTCCGCCACTGCTAGAAGCGGCTTAGTCACATGAAGATCGCGGTATAGGTTGACCCTCGGCGGGCAAATCGTGACCGCGATATTATGCTTCGTAGGCATACTATTTATCGCCTAGTTATATCTATATGCGGTCGTAGTTAATACGGCTATAACCTAATAGTTACCGCTTTTAACCTTACTAAATACCGTGCTCTTTTATATAACTATCGACTAGTAAATATAGCACTATTCTTCGTAGCTCCGCCGCCGTAGGTATACGGTTAGTTTAGGTACTATAATATCGACGATACGTATCGAGAAGTTAGCGCTCCGCCGGCGTTTAAAGATATAGGTAGGTAGATACCTCGAGAGATACGAATATAGCGCTTTCCGCCGGAGCTGCCTTCGTTCGCGGTAATAGACGGTTAGAGTAGATTAGTACTATAAAATCGACTCGAAGACTTCTATATAGAAGGAATGCGATATCTAGTATTTAAGCTAAAGGCAATATAGACTAATTAGGCTTAAAGGTAGCGTTCTTAATTGTAGGCGATAAACCTAGAGCCTATTAGTAGTTAGCGACTCGATAGTAATAGTATTAAGGTACCTTACACTCTAGGACGTAGCTTAGAGCTTACTTCGTCTTAATCGTTACTAGAATCGACTCCTACGCCGGTACCGAGAGGTTAGCCTACTACTATAGAAATAGATAATAAAGAGACGCCGAAGGCGTAGAAGAAGCGGACTTAGTCGCTATAGAAGCGAGCGCGTAGTCTAATACTATCGTTAGCAGCTAAATAGCGCGCTTCGAAGGTAAAGAAGAAGAATAACGGTACTACGAGTAGTAGAAAGTAGAAGTCTAGTACTACGGATAGTGCCGTAACGGCCGACTTAAACAAAGGTAATAAGGAAGGAGAGGGAATAGGTACTTCCGAAGGTAGTAGAATAGGCACTATAGACGACGATTATAAAGCTAATAATAGTAGTAAAGACATCGATAGTAAGAATAGCGGTAAGGGCGAACCTAGCCTTAAGAATAATAGGTCTCCTATTAAAGAATACTGCCCTCGTTTCTACCTCGATAGTAGCTTGTCTCGTATCTGCCTCTTCGAGATTATCGTTGCTAGGGCTAGGTAGTATTCCGAGATACCTCTTATCTAATTTTAGAAGCTTATTCGTAAGAACCTCGCAGAGGCGAATATAATAGTACCTACGCATATCGATCGGATAATATTTAGTAATAGTATAGGTCGGAAAGGCTTCGTTAGGTAGCGTATAGATCTATCGGATAGGTATTATTATTCTTAGCTAAAGATGTCTAACCGCGAAGAAGAGCTCCTTAATAATATTATTACTATACGAGACGAGCGTAAAGCGAAGCTAGAAGACTAGCACAAAGTCGACGTTGTACGTTAGGCGCAAGAGGCTATAAAGAATAAGATAAGAATAGCCGCCCTTAGTTAGCAGAAGACACCTAGATAGGAGATAGAGACATTATTACTTACTAGCAAGAATAGACCCGGAGGTGTCGAATTAGTATATATAGGGCGCGCTAATATTAGATCTATTCGTACTTCCGGCGCTATATAAGGTGCTTTGTATATAGAGCAGCGTATAATAATAGAAGGGTTGTAGAAGACGTCTAATTTAATATTATTATAGGGCGATAGACAATACTCGGAGATACTAGTAGCTTCTCGTAAGAAGTTAGCTATTGTCTAAGACGCCTTTGCCGCTATAATCCGTATCGAAGAGCGCAAACTCGAGGCCGACCTTATACGGATAGAGCGCGAGAATAACAATGCTATCGCTATATAGAAGTTAGCTAATAATGTAAAAGAACGTAATAAAATAAGAGACAAGAAGGAAGCCGAGCGTAAGGAAGTTAGGAGGTAGGAATAGGTCGAGCGTAACTATCTCCGTTTCAGCCCCTTACTATTTAAGCGCAAGGAGGTTTTTAGTATAGCAGGTAGTAGGCTCTTTCTAACTACTACCTTTACTACCTTTACTACCTTCTACCTTCTACCTTCTACCTTCTACCTCTAACTATTCTATATCGGACTACTACGCGACTAGACCTATACACCTACATACTAAACTATACTAACCTCCTTGCGCTAGTAAGGGTCTAAGGACAAATGTGCTAAATCTGCAGTATTATCCTTATAAAAATAAAAGATTACTAACTAGCGTAGAATACTATAATTTGATATATATATGTTGTAGCCCTGCTATTTCTAAGTCATTCTATATATATAATATTCAAATGCGACGTATAGTTATAAAGAAAACAAGCAATCCTTACTACGGGTAGATATACGTATACGACGGATTGTTATAGAGCGCTACTACCTAATATCTAATATAGGAAATACACATATCTATAACTAGGAGGTTGTAGACCGGCTATTCCTAAGTACTGTTTGTATAAGCTATATATCGAGAAAATGTATGCCTGCTATCTGCTAGCTCTTAAGCGGAGCTAAGCTAGGTACTCGCAATAAGACCTTCGGATCTCGACAAGTAACAACTCGGAGGTTCTAGAATAGCCAATTCTTAATCACTTTAATATAAGCTATATTTATATAGAGCGTAGTATTGTTGTATTATATTTAAGTAGCGGAGGTTATTTAGCTAGCTCGAGGCTAGCACAAAAAGCTAGCATAAAAAGCTAGTACCGAAAGCTAGTACTAGTATATTGTCTACTAATATTCTCGGTTATATACTAAGCTATAGAAGATCCTACGTATAGGCGGCCTTCTATAGTCGGCCTTCTATAGTCGGCCTTCTATAGAAGGCTTCCTATAGTCGACTTCCTATAGGCTATCGTTTGCCGCGCTTAGATAAGCAAGCCCCTAAAACACAGTCTTGTTCGGCTTCGGATGCGGGTTAAGGCAGACTTACTCTATATATCGTGTATCGTATATCGTATGTCGTATGTCGCTATTAGTAATTCAAAAAAAGGCCTCGTTTATACGCTCTTTATTTAAGTAGGCCTAAAGGCAATAGGGCTTTGCCGTTTTAAGCTACGGGTGTAACATCGGGCTGCCGCCCTTCTTCTTCTTCTTCTTCTTCTTCTTCTTCTTCTTCTTCTTACTCTTAGCTTCTTCCGCCTCGTATCTAGCACTTATATTTAGCACTCGCATTTAGTACTCGCATTTAGTACTCGCATTTAGCACTCGCATTTAGTACTCGCATTTAGTACTCGCATTTAGCACTCGCATTTAGCACTCGTATTTAGCACTCGCATTTACTACTCGCATCTACCGCTAATATATCCGACGTCGACCTACTAGACTCCGACCTACTAGACCTACTAAGTACGCTTTCTAGCCTACCGCTAAATCTATACCCGAATAAGTTGTCTAAGCTATTATCTAAATTAAACCTAGATTCCGAGGCAGATGCTAGTATATAAGCCGCGCTTAATATAGACTAGCAACGTATCGAGACAGACCGCCGGATAGCTACTAATAAGGAGGCTACTAGCGACGAAGAGGTATATAAAGCAGCTTTATTCTAGGCGGTCGCTAATAAGGATATATATAAGGCGGAAACATATAAGTAGGAGGATCTTAGCGATAATAATATCGTATTAGAAGAGGCGGAAGAGGCTCCTATCGAAGAAAATAAGGCTATCGATCTGTTTAGTAATATAGAGGAGGATAATAGCGATAAACTCGCAGACGAGGAAAATACGGAGGATACTAGCGTAGTAGCTCCGCGCCGCTAGACTCGACAACAAACTCGACTCGTAGAAGAAGCTACTACTGCTATAGGTCGTCGACGCGGCGGACGTCTCTAGCAAAACCGGACAACTCGAGGCACCTACCGTATTCGTAGTTAGCGTCGTACCCGCGAGCAGAAATATACTAACATCTTCGGAGAGATAAAGCGTGCTAAGCTACTACCTAAGCAGTAGATAATAATGTTTAATAGCTATAGCGAGAAGCTAAATAGGACCTATCGCAACTATATCCGCTAGTCTATAGCTGCTCTTAAATATAAGTATGTCTTCTCGGCTCGAGTTATTCGTAATAAGCTAAAGAAGCTCGTTAGCAAGCGATTCTTTAACTAGTATAATCCGGAAGATTCGATAAAGGATATTAACCTACTAGAGATATATAGTATTATCGAAGAGACTACGCCGACCTAGGTTAATCTTCTACGCAAGCTGCTTCTAAACAAGAAGATTCTAATCGGTAAGGAGGATAGTCTACTATATAAGCAGGATCGCCTCCGTAAGCGTATTATAGTAATAATATAGATAGCTATCCGCTCGATCTCCCTAAAGAAGGCCTCGATTTTCGGTAAGCAATTCGGACTGTACCTAGTTACTAGCGGCGTACTATACTACGTTATTAGTATTATTAACAATATCGGCCTTTCTAGTGCCGCTCGGACGATTTAAGTGTTAATACGGAAGACAGAGGCGGTCTAGGATTAGCGTATCGTTATAATAGCTCGAGACAAGCGGAGTTTTACGGTATACGACAACCTCGTAAAGCAGAAGAACCGCTAGGGCGTCTAGAAGCAGGGTAACCGTACGGAGATACTAAATATAACTACCTCCTATATCGGTATTAACGAGCGTATTCTAGTAGAAGGTTTAACTAAGGATATAATTGATTTAAACTCGGAGCTTAGCTATAAACACATCCTAGAGAACCTTGCCTAGG